AACCGGAAGTGACGTCATTTTTTTTCAAAACCGGAAGTGACGTCATTTTTTTTCCAAAACCAGAAGTGACGTAATTTTTTTTGTCAAAACCGGAAATGACGTCATTTTTTTCAAAACCGGAAGTGACGTCATTTTTTTCAAAAACCGGAAGTGACGTCATTTTTTTTTCAAAAACCGGAAGTGACGTAATTTTTTTGTCAAAACCGGAAATGACGTAATTTTTTTTTGTCAAAACCGGAAGTGACGTCATTTTTTTCTTCAAAACCGGAAATGACGTCATTTTTTCAAAACCGGAAGTGACGTCATTTTTTTTTGTCAAAACCGGAAGTGACGTCATTTTTTGGTCAAAACCGGAAATGACGTCATTTTTTTTGTCAAAACCGGAAGTGACGTCATTTTTTTTATCAAAACCGGAAGTGACGTCATTTTTGTCAAAACCGGAAGTGACGTCATTTTTTGTCAAAACCGGAAGTGACGTCATTTTTTTTGTCAAAACCGGAAGTGACGTCATTTTTGGTCAAAACCGGAAATGACGTCATTTTTTTTTGTCAAAACCGGAAGTGACGTCATTTTTTTTTAATCAAAACCGGAAGTGACGTCATTTTTTTTATCAAAACCGGAAGTGACGTCATTTTTGTCAAAACCGGAAGTGACGTCATTTTTTTTGTCAAAACCGGAAGTGACGTCATTTTTTGTCAAAACCGGAAGTGACGTCATTTTTTTTGCCAAAGCCGGAAGTGACGTCATTTTTTTGTCAAAACCGGAAGTGACGTCATTTTTTGGTCAAAACCGGAAGTGACGTCATTTTTGTCAAAACCGGAAGTGACGTCATTTTTTTTGTCAAAACCGGAAGTGACGTCATTTTTTTTTGTCAAAACCGGCAGTGACGTCATTAAGCTACCATTTATTTCTGATAACTTACACACTGTGAATCATCAACGACATAAACCCCCGTGGTATTGATGGCAATGAGTACCGACATATCCCTGTTAGTAATCCATGATGCCAATCCTCTGACCGGTCTCTCGATTTGTCCCTGAAAGAAGGCCGATCCATAGCACGGTAAACCCCAGCAAAATTCAAGGTACTTTCTCACAAGTTTCCTCGAGTTCGGCGTTGTACCCGAATGATTGGGTATTCGTTTGTACTGCTCAAGTAATCTCGCCTCTGGTGCACCCTTGCCACCAACAATACCGAGACCAAAACCTAATCCAAATAGAAAACCTGGTGATGTGTAATGATGAGGAAGAAATTTGGCTCGATGCTTTCGAAAGTACGCCAGTGTGTGTGTTTGGGGATTGTAGGGGCCCAATTCTATTCTAGCCTGGAGGGCACCAAGACTCGCGTATCTCGCCTGTCCCTCGCACGGATATCTCCCTGAAAAATATATAAAAATCACTTGATAATTTAATTCACAGAGAAAACTATAAAATATAATCCAGTGGAGATCTTCCGAAATGATCCAATATTGAATTTCCAATTTTCCAGAATAAGCGATTTATTTAAAAAACTATAGATCTGTTGTGAAAAACCCAAATGACTTTTTTATAGCTGATTAAATTCCCGATGAAAAAGGTGTCTTGATATTTCCACCCAAAATCACTAGTTATCAAATGAATTCGCTAGACATATCACAATTACCTTCTAATACGTTGTGCCTCGCTTCAGCGTACAGCAGTTCAAGCATCTTGGGATCCTTAATCATCTCCTCGTCTATTCTTGAGAGAAATACATTTCTCCTGAAGTAGAGCAATGGCTCCTCATCACTCTGTTCCCTCGTACCGTACTTATTCACCAATTTACTCCACTTTGAGGCAAGATCTATGGGTCTATGATTTGGCCTCAACTGTAGCTCCAGCTGAGATGAACACATCCACATTGCAAATACTGTTTCACCACTTATCTGCGATAATCTTGACATGCCTATCTCGGGCTCTGTCTGTACGATTGACTGAATTTGTTGGGCCGTTGAATTTCTATCAACTTCCATCGTTAGAAAAACACCTGACATTAAATATACCGCTATTCGAACACTTTGACGAGAATTTTGAGGTGCAGGCTCTCCCTTCGACGATTGAACATCTGGAAAAATAATTAGCTTTATCAATTACATATTCCATTATGTTGCAATGACCAAAAATTATTCATAACTTTAAAAATTATTTAATTATCATCAGAATGAATGTCAAATCGATTATTTCAAAAAAAGTATTTCTCTCATTACTTAACGATGCAATAATTTTAATATAATAAATAAAATAAAATAATTTACTCACGTGGAGATGCCTGTGCCTCTCGTTTCCCTGAATTTGGGTACCGTCTCCCCGGATTGGCTCTCCTCCCACTGCCTTCTTCCTGCTCCATAATTCCCTCTCAATAAAAAAAAAATCACTTATCACTTACGATATCCTCTGCCTCTCACTATCCAACGCACATTTCAATCCCGAGTCTCTCCATCCTCTCCTCTCATTGTCCACCAATTTCTGTTTACACCACATGATATTCCACTGTGTCATCAAAAAAACACTCGAGGCTCTTGTAACCTCTCACCCCTAGGTCTTCGTAGATTTCAAATAATTATTCCCCGGAATAATTCTCTTGAAATGTTTCCAATTCACTCAATGCGTCATATCTATCCTCGAAACTCTCAGCTGATGATTTTGTGATGGACTCGCGCGTCAAGTATCGAGAAATTAATTCGAGCGAAAGCATTTTGTCCAGTTGTTTTGGGGGAGGACTATTGATTTTTTATGCCACCCCTTTTGGTGGCTCTGGGAAACAAAACGCATGCGCAATCTTGTGTTCAAATATCAGATTTTTCTCGCATCTGTTGTTTATGATTATAGGAATTGTAATTGAGGTGCTGTGGTCGCAGGATAAATCCTTAATTCAAAAACATTATCAGAATTCATCCAACAATTTTAGCCGCTATTTTTGACATAACACAAGAGTTGTTTAGTAGATGTATTTTGTATTCCAGAGGTGATACAGTAATTATACAAGTGATTAAGGTACATTTTTTCAGGGAAAATCGATATTTTTTGTCTGTGGAAATATCTGGGTGTTTGTTTCGGGAAGATCTCCGGAATTAATGGTATCAGGGCAAAATGTTGAAGAAACTTTTTGTCGCGGAAGAAATGCTCTACAAAAAAATTTTCATCACATTTTTCGATAACTCCATTAATTCCCGAGATATTTTTGAAAGAAAAATAGCTGTGGTTTTTTAACAATTATAGAAATTCAGAATTCTTCAGAGTATTTTGAAAATACGGTCGATAGTCTCGGTTTTAAGGGAAAACGGCAGAGGAATTTTTTTTAGAAAACTGAATTCTCCACAAAAAATTCCCCTAACATTTTCCAATAAAACTCTTCCTTTCGGAATTATTTTCCCTATAGTCTCTAATGCACCACAACTGCGGTAGAATAATAATTCAAGATTATTCTCTTCAATCGAATTACGAATATTTCGATTTGTCAGTTATTTACCATAGAATATTTAGGTCACGTGATACATACTTGAAAGAATAATTCGAGGTCTTCCATAGACAGAATAAAAAAAATGAAACTAATAGATAAATTCCCCTCTTTCTAAACTAGATTTTCTCCTCGTTTACTTAAATCAAATCAGCGACGTTCATGGGCATCTCGTCGATCTGCGTGGAGTAGTATTGCTCAATATCTCTAAGAATCCTGATGTCATCGGTCTTGACAAAATTAATAGAGACACCCTTTCGTCCAAATCGACCAGATCTGCCTATTCTGTGGATGTACAACTCCCTGTTATTTGGGAGATCGTAATTTATCACAAGCGAGACCTGTTGGACGTCTATTCCTCGAGCCCAGACGTCGGTTGTAATCAAAACTCGACTGTAGAAAGAAAAAAAAACAAAATTACCATCAATTCCACGACATGCGCACTTCCATTTTCAATTGCACCCTGAATTTATAACAGAATTACCTCTGCCCTGATCTGAACTCCTTCATAATATTGTCCCTCTCCTTCTGGGGCATATCCCCGTGCATCGAACACACTGTGAAATTCGCCTCTCTCATCTTTTCCGTCAGCCAGTCGACCTTGCGTTTTGTGTTGCAGAAGATGACAGCCTGTGTGATGGTCAAGGTGTCGTAAAGATCGCAGAGTGTGTCGAATTTCCACTCCTCTCTTTCCACAGCAACGAAGAACTGTTTGATACCCTCCAGGGTCAACTCATCGCGCTTTACGAGAATTCTTATGGGATCAGTCATGAATTTACTCGTCATCTCTAGGATCTCGTGGGGTAGGGTTGCCGATACCAGGACGACTTGGGTCGCTGGTGGTAGGTAACGATAAACATCGTAGATCTGCTCCTTGAATCCCTTGTTCAGCATCTCGTCTGATTCGTCCAGCACCAGCATTTTTATGGCTCTTGTGCGTAGAACTCGTCTTTTTATCATATCTGCAACACCATCAATTAATTAAACAAAAGCTACGGATAATTACATAATTAACTCATGAAAGAAAATCAATTGGAGCTCGAAAATCGATCTATCCAAATTGCCCCTTTCTAATACCCATTTTATTTCTTCAAGGGATGATTTTACAGAAAAATTTTAGAGGAATTTTTCGTGGGAAATTAAATTTTCTAAATGAAAGGTCCTTAGACTCTTGCGCGTAAATTCCTCCTGTCTCGAGAGAATCCAATAATTACCGAAAACTCTCCCAGGTGTCCCGGAGACGACGTGCTGTCCGTAGTCCAGTTTCCTGATGTCTTCACCCAGGTTTGTGCCACCAATGCAGGCGTGGCATTGCACATTCATGAAATCCCCAAGGGCAAGGATTACCTTCTGAATCTGAACAGCCAATTCCCTCGTGGGTGACAGCACAAGTACCTGAGTCTCACGCACTTGTGTGTCCAACGACTGGAGAATTGAAATGGAAAATGTCGCTGTTTTTCCCGTTCCTGATTGTGCCTGGGCAATTACGTCTCTGCCCTTCATTATGGGCTTTATCGAACGCTGCTGAATGGCCGAGGGCTTCTCAAAACCTGAAATTCAAAATCATTAATTCACAAATTCCATTGAAAAGTTTCCCAATATTTTTTGCACTCTCAGAAAATTGAATTAGAAAAAAATTGCAATTTAGGAAGAATTATCAGAATTTTTTTTTCAAGAAAAAAAAATCTTGTTATTTTCCGGAAGAAGAAAAATTCACACATCTGACATGAAAATTCTTTGAATGTAGAGTAAATGAAAATTTCTAGAGAAAAATTGCTTGGCATCCCAGAACGTCTACAAGATGTTGATTTCAGGTTAGAATTTTCCTTAACCCGAAAACTCTGGGAAAAACTCACCGTATGCGTAAATTCCTCGTAGAAGCTCATCCCTGAGCCCCATATTATCGAAAGTGGGAATAACTTCGACATCCTCACTAGTTTCAAACTCAACATTCGATAAATCCTCGCTCTGTGCGACACGACGTGACTTTCCCTCCGCCATTTTGCCAGATTACTAAGAAATCAAACAAGGAATTGTTTGGAGCCACTTGTGCGTTCCAGTCGTCCCGTCAACCCTTCGTTCACCAAAAAGTCACTCTTGATTATCGAATTTCCTCGAAAAACCAAAAAATCCTATCGGAAAATCCCGGAGAAGTCGAAAAATTTCACACGTGCCCATGAAAAAACATTTCTAGAGTCAATTCCCTCGATAGAATTGAGGAAAACTCCCTGGAACACGTGGAGAAAAATTAGAACAGGTTAGACCCCGAGAGGACTCGAGGAAAATCGAAGAAAATCGAGGATAAACTCGTGAAAATGTTTGGGAGAACAAAGTGCAAGGAAGTTCCCATTCTCGTGGAGCTCGAGGAACAGCTGACGAGTGATTCCTGTGCAAAAATCATTACTGAGTTGATTAAATACATTCTCTACCAGAAACAGCAGATTCCCTTCTCCTGGGACTCACTGGTGCAGCTCCAACCGAGATTTAAACCCAATGACAGGAACTACGGATTCACGAAAAATCTTTTTGCGTCTCTGGAGAGTATATCCGGGGAATTGACAGAACAGCTGCACCTGGGGGGTTGTGACGTCAAGGAGGTGGTGATGTTGATAGGTGCTACGACGATTTCCCCAAAGTTCTTGATCAGAGTAGAAATCCCTGGGAATATTCTCAGCAGCAGAAGACACATGGAGTTTCAGCATTCTTACAGGAAGCCTCTGCTCACGCTGATGAGGTACTTGAGATTATTTCTGTAATTAAAAATCATTCGCTTATTTTAATGCAATTTTTTTTTTATTTAGAAATAATTAAAAAATCTATTAAAATCTCCATTTTCTACATCTGTAGGAAAATATTATAGGAATAATTAATTTAATTGCGAAAAATAATGAGTAATGAATTGATGAATTAATGGATTAATTTCCAGAACTGTTATCGAGTGCCAGGAGTTCCAGGACGCGATGACTGTTCCCCTGGTTCCTACGAATACTTTTGTCCTCCTCCAGAAGAGCGACTCAAATCCAAAATCTGATTTTTTCCTGCCGAAGCCCCAGTACTCCCCGAACTCCCAGTCTTTGAGTTTTTGTATTAAACTCCACCACAACGAGATCCGGGGGGACTGCCAGTGCTCCGGCATCGTCAGGCCGTACTTCGACAACCCCAACGATCGGCTGCAAGACATCTCCGAGGAGAAACACGATGTCGTTGCTCCCTACCTCTGGTATCAGTCGAAAGAAATCGTCAAAGGGTTTAAATACCAGAGATAACACTAGAAAAATCAATAAAATTAATTCGGAAGTCTAGGAAATTACCACCGTCGATGCAATTCCACGTGATACATTTATTTAATATTCTCGAGTTAATTGAAATATCTGAGAACTAAGACTTTTCTTTTTTTAAGAAACAGCAGGCGAGGGAGGGATTTTTTTTATATTCTTAATTCAAGAATAAATTTTACTGTTGAGGTCTCGACTCAGTATGAAGCAAAAAATAGTGTAAAATTTAATTTCATAAATGATTTAATTAAATACTATTATTCTCCTATTATGTTATTATTTTCTACTATTTTTTTACTGTAATTTCCATAATTTTTAAAAACAGGGATTGATAACTATTTCAGATGATGGAAATTAAACGAAAACTATTCTTCACCCCCTCGACCTCTAATTCAAGTTAGGTGAATAGGTTATTAGTTGTGACTCATTAATTGATGCGTCTACTTTGTGGACACAGTCGACGTTGAAGTTAAATGAATAAAATTTTTGTACAAAACTCGACTGAGTAATTCATTGAGAGATATATAAATTTTCTATTTCTTTCACTCCCCATCCTATTTCTCTTCTATTATCAATTTTAATTTTTAATTTGCTCTGTATTATTATCTGGCGAATCTGAAGAAATGTTTCATGACTGTTTTGCTCTAAATTAATAATATAGTTTTATAATAAACAAATTGTTCATCTCCTCCCCTTCTTACAATCAGAAGTAAAAATCTCGCTTTGCGTCATGGAAATATTATTCTTTCGCTCCCTCGAGAACAAATAATTCCATATTTTCTGTTGACTCGCGTAATTATCTCTCATGATATAACAGATGGTATTAAAAATATTTGGGGTCATGAGGTGCATTCAGATGTAAACGACGAGACGCTGGATTTAAAATCCAGTTGACGTCGCAACTTGTCAGTTGATTAATTTCCCTCGTGGGTATCGATTCAAAATGGGTCTCAAGTGTCTCACCCCTGAGCAGAAGAAATTTTACGTTGAAAATGGTTTCGTGAAGCTCTCGGGGATCTTGACACCCAGAGAATTCGAGGAGATCTCCGAGGCTTACGACGATATCTTCACCCGGAAACAGCGAGACCGTGGAGCTGAGCTGGAGAGCTCCTGGAAAGGAACTGAAATGTCAAAATTAGCTAAAAACCGAGATTATACAGTAAGTCAAATCCATCATCCCACATAATTATGATAATAATGTAATGATAATTATTTATGAATAAAAAATGCCGAAAATTTCAAGTTTTCTCTCAGAAATTCAATTATCCTTCTATTTTTAACAATAAAATCACCAAATGCAGAAATATTTGTTAAAAAATGTAAAAAAAATTGCAGGTGAAATCAGTGCATGCCCTTCAGTTGCACTCAGCAGCATTCACTCGCCTGCTGATGCACCCCAGGTTGCTGGACGCCTTGGAGGACATAATGGAGACACCGAACATTCTTCTGCACCACACGAAGGCCCACCTGAAGCCCCCGGAGACAGGTGCCCCCTACCTGATGCACCAGGACTACCCGTACTTTCCCTTCAAGAATCACTCGATGGTAGCTGTTTTCCTCCACCTGGACGACACAACCCCTGAGAATGGTGGCCTCGCTGTGTATCCAGGAAGCCACAAGCTGGGGCCCCTGAAGCCTCACACATCCCACGACGAGCACAACGGCACGACCTTCTACGTCGATCCCCAGAAGTTTCCCCTGGCACAGGCAACTCCAATCTCAGCTAAAAAGGGAGAAATTGTTATTTTTTCGTATCTTCTGCTGCATGGGTCTTACTTGAATCTCTCGGAAAGGCCTCGGAGGATGTTCCTCGCCCAAATCAGAGCTGCCGACGACGAAGCCACTGAGGATGTCCACAAATCCCCCTGTCACGATATGGTACTCAGGGGGAAAAATATTCGTCGAGAGGCTAAGATGAAGGATCGGTATATCCACTGATACCAATTCACTGAATTGATAATTGATGTGTAAATACGAATAAATATAATTACATCCTTTCGTTGGAATTAATTGTTGGAATTCATTCGATTTTTTATTTAACAAAGTGAAGTTGTGGAGTGGTACAGAGTGAAGTTAGTAGATAAATGACTAAAAATATTGTTGTATCTTTAGACAAAGAACTTCCTCTAATTACCGATAAACAATTGAAGAAATCAAAGAATTGTTCATTAAATTCTCTAATTCTTGGAATTATTTTTCCCTAAATCATGATCCTGTCAAATTACGTCGCCCAATAGAAAGGTAGATACGATAACACCAAAGAAGAAGAACAAATACCTCAATTCCAAGAATTCGATATAAAATAATAAACGAAAAAGAAATTCTATCAAGTAAAAATAGAGATGGAAAATCAAAACAATCGAAACAAATACCAGGAGTTTCTGAAAAAACTGGATGGAGTGACGAATCGTCGACAGCCAGAAGAACTTTCGAGTGAGTAATTCCCTCCGTCGAAAACCTAGACTCCAAATCGAAAATTTCATTGTCACCTCAAATTCCAGCATCAACCCCATCCCCAACGGTCTCAGACCTCTGGAGAACCCTCCAAGGAGGGACTGTGACCTCCTCGACCTTCGCCTGTCCTCACTGTCCTCACTGCAGCGCAGCCCTGACACCGCAGCTTCCCCAAAGTTCTCCAGACTCCCTCCTGACGTCCTTGAATTCCCACCAGACAGAACTCCAGTTTCTGAACGCCATCGTCTGGATGACGTCGATAATGAGTGCTTTCCCAGTGGTACCGATCTCCCAGATGAAGAGAACCCTCAAGGCCCTTGTGGAGATAGAGGAGAACCCCCCACCGAGGCTCTCAATCCAGAAAAAATCCTCAGTGAAAGGCCCGGGACTTGGTCCTGAAGGTGGACTATCTTCCCCACGTCCGCCAGTTCTCTCGATGACCCTGGAGGTGTCTCCAGGTCTTCGGAAGACCCGGGGAAAGAACACGTCGTCCTCTGGAGGAGAACAGCAACAGAGAGATGAAGAGATTCAAGCGAAAAAGAGGAAGCTGGAGGGACAGGACAGTGCTGTCGTCCTCGAGGGCTCCCCTGGCAGGACGTGGGTGTCTTGTTGTCCTGAGGAACTCCGGGATAACGAGTGGACATTGGTAATCGCTGAGAGTGATGGTGAGGACACTCAGATGACACCAGATATCGATTTCGAGTCTTTCTCTGGAAATAGAACTGTCAAGGACAGTGGCATCTGTGAAGATGTTGGAAAGATTCTTGAGGAAGTCCAGGAGGCTTGCGAGCTAGTGGAACAGGAACAGGAGGTGGAAGAGGAGGAGGAGGTAATTTCCTCTCTGGAGTTTTCAGGAATCCTCAGGGAATTCCCCACTCACTCTGTTGCCATCAGCATCGTCAAGAGCACTCTGGAGGCTCTAGAAAATGAAGATACTGTTGAGTACTGCTGGAAGGAGAGGCCCATCGTCGAGCAGGCGATCAAGGTCATCCTCAGATTCATCGATATCGTCGCTGTGGAGGAGTACAAATGTCCCGGGTATCTGGATTTCTTCGTTAAATTTGCAGTGCAGACTGTTGTGAACGTCATCCAAGGGTTTGACGGCCTTGAAATGGTGGTGAGTCATTTTTAGAGTTTTAGAAACTGAGAATATGAATAAGAAAATTGAATTTCTCATTGAAAATATAAATTGGTATTCAAATAAAATAGAAGTGATTTTTATTTTGATTTTTTTTTCGGTTATTTCTCTATTTTTTAAATTATTTTAGGACGTAAAAAGACAAGAACACTTGATGACGATTCTCGAGCTGTGCAATTGTCGACTAATTTGTGAAAAAGTCGTCTGGTATCTCATGGAATCATTATCGAGTTTGTCAGATGAGAATTCAACACGCGAGGACCCCCTACTCATGCTCTCGTGGCAGGAAAAAAGTTGTCTCTTAATTGAAACCCTCACTGTAACACTGGAAAAGTACCTGAACATCATAAAAGTAAATAACGTACAGCCACTGGATTTTTTCCACAGAAACACGAGCAATTCGACAAGAGAATTATTAAACGCTTGGTCAACTCACGTCGATAATTTCGTTGAGAAAAATCTCCACACGTCTGTGGCAAAAGTATCACTGGTGAAGAACATCTTCCGAAAATTCAGAACCAAACTCGAATCAAAATTAATCTGAATCTAAATAATGCATCAATCACAGGATACAGCAGAAATGGAAAAACCCACGTGATGTACTGATTAAGTTAATTTAATGTCAATTATTCTATTACATAATGACGAATGACTGTTGTCCGTTCACGTTGTTACAACCGATTGTTGTAATAAATTGATAAATTTTCGTTATTATGAGTAAACGTTGAATACCAGAGAATTTCCTGGATTCTTATTTTTTGCATTGGAATAACAAAGATTTTTTGATCGAGATAAGTCGTGAGTGATTTATCTCCAGGTTTTCTTTCTCAATCATGCGAAAAAACGAGGAAAGACCGTATAATTATCCAATTCGAGTGAAACTAAGGCCTAGTAGCAACACAGGAAGACTAATCAAGAATAATCTCGAATCTGATTTATCGTGTCCTGGTGATTCTTTCGGGTCATCCGACGAGGGTATATGCTGGCAGATGGATTTTTCGTCGACAGGAAGTATATCCTCCAGGATGCTGCTGAATTTAGTCAATGGACAGTACTCCCCACAATTATTCAGCCTGATGGGATCCACCTTGGACCGGGGCTCAGGAAGATAGAACATCTGAAAAGAATAACACGATAATTGTCTCCTGGAGTTTTCTTCTGAAGATTGAATGAAAAATTGTCCTGCCTGGATTGAATAATCGAGACTATTCGATTCTCTGTAAACTTCGAAAATAATTGATGCTCCTTGTTTCACAATATGCGGTGTCCAGGCCCCCAGATTCTCCAGCAAACCCATGACTGTTCTGTCTTCTCCACTGTACAGTACTAGTTTCAGTTTCGAATTTCCTTGGGCATCTTCGTGCGCCACTGCATCTCTCAGGATCTTCTTCAGCAGAGAACCCCCGTTCAATGTCCTCTGAAGACGAGTCTTAGAGAGGGTTTCATACGCCTTCAGGGATACGTTTTTCATCTCACCCTGAGGGAAAATGTGATTGGCCCAGGCAGGAAGACTCACGTTCTGGGCTGCCTATTTTCGACAAATGAATTTTCATTAAATCATGAAAATTGTGTATAAATAATTTATGATTATATTAACTTATATAATAATGAATTTTATATACAATTTTCATAAACAGTCCCATGGAAATTATTTCATGACTGAATTCACTATAAATTAATTTGCAAATCTCGCGTCGAATATTATTTCTGAATAATTGAATTTACAATTGTCTCGAGGCAGGAGTACAGCATGGCGACATCCCAGGGTGTTTCTATTTTCTTTCCATAATGAATAGTCAAGAACTCGAATAAAGATTTGTGCTCTTCCACGATTGATGAAAAATTTCCATTGACTTTCTGTTCTTCAGCTTTGAATGTTGGACAAAAATATCCCATCAATAACGTATCCTCATCTGCAGGTACAAAATCTAAAATTGAAAACGAATAATTAATGCTTAATATTAATTAATTATTAGGATCAGGAGGGGCTGAGGTAATACGGAGGTAAAAAATAGTTTCATTCTCAGTTTTCGCTATTTAATTATTTTTAATGCTGATGGATTTTTTAGTAATTAATTGAAGGATTAATCGGGGAGATGGTGTACCTGTGGGGACCGGCTGCCAGTCGAGATCTTCTTTCCATTTTTGTTCAGGGGCTGGGGGCCATAATCCAGCGTTGACAAGCTGTCCAGATATCATGGACAACGCATATTCACTCGTCCTCATGCTCATGAAATCAGGATGATAGATATCCCCCAAGAAAGAATCATAGATTTGACGGATTACAACTCCCAGGCTGTACAAATCCAATTTGGCTTTCTGCAAAAATATCAACAAATTCATTTTTTCGTATTTATATTCTGATATGACACGAACAAAAGCATCTGCAACAGCAGAGGAAATTAATTGATTAATATTAACAAATTGCTCTGGGAAAATTCAAATTACATTATTCATATCAAACGTTTGCTCCAGGAAGTGTCGAAAATCCAGAAGTCCTGGGAAAATCGTTCCATTGGTTGTCTCCACGGGTGCGTAAAATTTATGCGAAAAAACCTGTAATTACGCAAGTCTCTGATCAAATAGAATTAAAAAACGTTTAACTAATTATCACGGATATCTTCTCATTTCTCAATTTTCATTTACGAATTCCTGACGAACGGTTGATAAAATTGACGTGAATAAATACATCGTTCTAGATTTTTGGAAGAATTTTAAGTTTTTCATGATTTTTTTTATTCTCAGCGTACAATTCGAAAAGTTCATAAAATTTGAATAAAAATGTATAAAAAAAAGTAATTAAACATTCATAATTAATTAATTAATCACCACTAATTAATGATATTTATAGACAAAATGTGTAATTCAAACCACTAATTAACTAATTCCCAAATTAATTAATTATTTTTTTAAACGTGATATAACGATAAAACTTGAGAACGAGATATTTTTAAACGTCAATCTGATCTAGGTTTATAGATAAATTAGCAAAAAGTCTGAAGAATGAGAAGATATCAGAACTAACTCTGAGAAATCTCGATGCAATCACTTACAATATGAACTTGTTGAAGTTCTTGTCCTGATAATACTGCAGTAGCTCCCAGTAACACCAGGAAATTCACTCTCCACATTTTTGTTCTGTACTAACAACTAGACAAGCCAATTGATGAATTGATATTCAGTTTTCCTACGATGAACTCATGCTGCAAGAAATATTCACGTAACTCATTCCATTAAGTGTTATCTGTGATTCAGGAATGAAGCCGCAATTTTCCTTCTCAAAAGTCAAGGTCATGTGTAATGAATACTTTCAATAATCTAATATCAATTGAAAATTTGAAAACGATCTATTGATTAATAATAATTATTGTTACAGGTACGTTCCCTGTTTTATTCGACTCTCTCTGTAATTTTTTCATTAATTGGTAATTAATTATGGATAAATACCGAATTGAGGATTTCTTGACGACTGGGCCAGTCCTTGTCTGTGATAGCTCCGTGACAATGTCGGGATCGAATGATCGTGTTGACGTGGAAAATAAAAATTTTTTATCAGAAGGTGAAAACAAACAGTTTAGTGGTTCGTCACTTCCCCTACCAGTTGTAATTATATTTGTAGAGTAAATATCTGATTTTATGAGTCTTGTGACGGCATCTCAGGATTACCCTGGATTGAGGCAATTCTGGGTGCCAATTTGGGTGGATTATTTATTTTTATAGTGAAATATTCTCCAGGGATTATAGTTTTAAAATATGTTGAACAATGAATTTAACACTTTTTATGGATTTATTTCCTCAACTTAAATTTATTACATTCCCATAAAAATCGATGCTAATTTCTTTATTTATTCTTATCATTTTGCAACATAAATAATTGATGATACGAATTTTTTGATAATTGTGTTGTAATTATTTATTCATACATTCATATTTATTTATGTTATAAAAATCAGTGTCATAAACAATTCAATAACTGTTTGTGGTTTTTTTTTTTTTTTTTTGACCCTTTTTTAACTTTTTTTTTTTCAAATTCCAATAGTTCCAGAGATATTTCCAATGGGTATTCAGTGATTTTGTTGCCACGCAAAGATAATAATCGAAGGACAATTGTATTTCCATGTGTGAGACGATTGTTATACACCAGCAAACAATGATAACAACAACAGTACTTTACTATAAAAAAAATAGACAATCAATTTTAAACATTTTTCTGCCACTTTTTGTGCCTCTTCCTCTTCCTTAACAAATTCGTTGTTCATCGACAAACTGTTGAATATCCATTACAAATAGTGAAAGCTTCATTTATTTATGTTTAATCAATAGTGCAATTTATTATAATTAATATAAGAAATAAAAGCAATTCTAGTAGCCCCAAAATAATAATAAAATATTTTTATCTAGTGCAAAATTATCTTCAAGTGTTAGACACATTTGCGCTGATTTTATTAATAATTAACACCCATAATTGACAATTAACATCGAATGTTCTTATCAGCACAAACGATTGCCGCTAGGCAGTGATATTTCAGAATCAAGATTAATGTTGAAATTCTTGAATGAAGTATCTAAAAGAGTCAGAAATATTAACAATCATTGGAAATGCGGATTAACCGCTCTAGTCCTATTGGATCCATAAAAATTATTCATTCAGAAATCCGAGGATTGTCACGTGATTTTCACGGGGTCTTCAGCCGTTTTGATACCCAAGTTGTAGGAAAGAAGATACCAGTTGGAACTCGTCGACAGGTGCTTTCGGGTCTTGATCAATTGCCAACTCAATAATCAATCCCCAGAGACTGCGTAATCATCACGATCTCTACATCATCTCCAAAGGCAAAGGTCCAATTTTTGATTTATCTTATCATTGGGAAAGTGTCTGGTGGTAAACGTCAAATCCACTCCCATTTTTTTATAACAAACTGGAAATAACGAGAGAATAAATGAAAGCAGAATTGAAAATTCGATTGCCGAATATCCTTACGCCCGTTTTCGGTTAATATCTCGGAGATGAAGAAAGATACCGATTTTTTTATTGATATCTTTTTTGTAGCTATCATCTTTTTCTATAAAAAATGTTTATGCCAAAAATTTAATTTGCTCGTTAGATTTCGAGATATCGGCTAAAAACTGATGTCGAAAAAATGCTATTCGCCTACTTTACCATTTCGCTACTGAATCTTCAATTTTTATTGGAGATTGTTTAAAAATTTATGGTTTTTGGCTTTCAGAATTTTTTCATACCAAGTTCAGTCTACTGGGGGAATACTCTAGATTTATTGACAGAATATCTGGAGAAATCGTCAATAGGATTCAGTTATTCCGGTGAGAAATGCTTTTTGCAATAGAAATTTTTAGTAAAAATGCAATATTTTGGGAAAATTCAGTGGAATTTTTAATATATTCTAGAAAAATTATGAATGCTCCGTCTTTAGTAGAATTTATTCTATGTAAAATACTTAAAAAATTTGTCGGCATAGCGCGTTTACTGCATTTTTATCTGTTCAAATTCAAGGAAAAATAAAATTCTGTGCGAAAAAGTGAACGAAAAATCCCCAACAAAAAACAGAAAAAAAATAAAATTCAAAATCCATCGCCAATAGTTGTATTAAATTCCATTAAAAAACCCGTCGACAGTCTCTAATAAAGAATAAATAAATTCACAACTAACGAAATTCTCAAACAATTGCAGTAAAATAATAATTTCTTCTCGATAATGTTTTATATTTCTCCGTAGTTGAATTTTCCGCTAAAAATTTGTATATTTAACTTGAAAAATCATAAAAATAATCGCGACATTTTGCGACTCGCGAGTGGATATAAGTTGAGATAACTTCGCCTTGCAAATCATTCCTGAATAAACATTCATAGTTGAGAAATTCATGAGTTGTGAGTTCATTACTCATTAGATTTTTTCGTTTGAATTTTCGTTGTTTTATCGGTGATTGTATCACCTGTCTTTATCACGGATAATCAGTAAATTTACGGCAGAGGTACTTGTCCGGTAATTTAGTTGGACTTCTACAGTCATTGGAGATTCTTCAGGTGATCAGTCTAAAAAAAAAATCGTATATTCAATTATACCGCAACAAGAAAAAAAAGTAAATAAATTCAATTTCAAAACCGTGACGTCAATAATTTATTCACAATCCGCTCTCAAGTATTTGTTTAATTGATTATTCAAAACATCGATTGATTCTTTATTATGAAAGAAATAAAAAAATCACAGAATATATTATCGAATTTAGTCATTATCTAATAAATCAATTAGGGAATTAATTGATTGTTAAATGGAATATAAAGTAGATTTTCTGGAATTAAATCGAAGGGAAATTGAATTATTTGAAATAAAAGAACGAAAAATTAATGAATGTGCGGGAGTTAATTAGTTATGGGTTAATCGTTTTAATTATGTTTTCAGGTCATTAATCTCCGAGTGGTATCTAAGACGTGATGACACCTGTACGTCAGTCATTATTTATTCTAGTCATTACTTTAATTGCAGTGAGCGCAAGGCAATTTCGATTGAAGCACGTTTCTGTGGTGAGTACCTCAAATTTTTTTCAACTCCTTGGGCCCAGTGGGGCCCAGACAAATTTAGTGGCTATTTTAGAGATTCATCAAAATTCATATTCCATCATCAAATTCCAAAATAAATAAATAGATGAGTAAATAGATGAATAAATAAATAAATAAAGAAATGAATAACTGAATGAATAAATAAATTGAGAGTTCATTACACATTTTTCATTTTTATTTTCTTATCGATTTTTTCGATTTTTAAGTGTTTAAAATTATTACAAAAAACAGTTATTGAATTATTTATAGTAATTATTAAATTAAAAATTGACTGAAGATTCAAGTCAATTCATAAAGTAAAACAAAAATTTAAATGATTAATTCCCGAAATTTCCAGGAAAAAAAATTACCTCCACCTGTGATACTTTAAAATTCTTGTGGTACCTGAATTTTCAGGTATTCCGTCACGGAGATCGTGCCCCGGACACCAACGCAGCCGAGAGATTCCCCAATGATCCCTACGTGAACGACGATTTCTTCCCACACGGCGTTGGCGGCCTGACGAACGTAATCTCCCAGAGCAATTACCTAATCGCTAAATTAATGAGTTAAATAAAATTACTATGGAACAATTAATTATTCCAGCAAGGCAAACGACGTGAGTTCGTCCTGGGGCGGAAACTTCGAGATTTTTATGGGGACTTCCTTGGAGATATTTATTCTCCTCTTACTACTTATGGTCGCAGTACTAATTACGAAAGAACGAAAATGTCTCTTCAGGCCGTTATGGCAGGATTATTCCCTCCAACGCAGGCCCAGCGGTGGCATCCTGACATAAATTGGCAACCAGTCATTACTGATTATGTAAGCAGTGAAAATGACTTCATCATGGTCCCTGAGGAGTGCCCGCAGTGAGTTCTCGTTAACCAATCTCCATAATTAATTAATAAGTTAATTGAGATGACCATTAAAAATTGGTCCACCCTCAATTTTCCACATTATCCTATATTTAAACAAAGATAAATAGGTAAATTGAAAATTCAGCAATAATTCGATATTCCAAATCTCGCAATTAATCATCAATTGAAAGATTAATTGATTGCTCTGTTCATTTATATTAATCATTCCATTAATAACGAGATAATCTTATGATTTTTCCCTGTGAATAATTCGTAAAATAATGCGCAATTTAAATTTTCAATTCAATGTTTTAACAACAATATAATAATTATTTCACAAAAGATAATTCCATAGAAATTTGAATAAAAAGATAAAGAAATTTTATCTTCTGAAATGATTGATTAATTTTATTTCTAATGAATAAATAAAAGATTCTTAAAATCGTAGAAAATAAATTTATAATTACATCTCGATGATTTCAGGTACTTGAGGGAATTAAGGAGAGTGAAAAATCTTCCAGACGTCCGTAATAAATTATCTGAATTCTCTGTGTTGATGAGGGATTTATCCGATTGGACTGGAAAGCAATTCCGAAGCTCCAACGACATGTTTAACCTCTATCATGCCCTGACAGCGGAGAATTCACTGAACCTCGATCTTCCCCGTTGGTCTGCCGATATATTCCCTAATGGTCTCTTGCTGAATGGCACGATTCTGGAGTACGATGTCGCGAGCTACGGTCAGAAGCTGAAGAGACTCAACGGGGGTGGGACAAAATATTTCCAATAATTACTAACCGAAAATTACCCCAGATTATCCCTAATTAGGACTGAGAACTAACAATCCATTCCAGGAATGCTCCTCAGGAATATCATAGAAACAATGGAGAATGTCATCGAAAGGAGGAGTAGAAGAAAACTTACACTGCTCAGCGGTCACGAGACCAACGTCGCAGCCCTCCTGAAGACTCTGGGGATCTATTATCCTCATGTTCCTCAGTACTCCAGCGCCGTGATCGTGGAGTTGCTCTCGGATGGAGAAGAATATTACATCAGGGTAAAAATAACAATTTCCATTGACTTTCATATTTACTCGATGAATAACACTATAAATAGTATAAATAAATACCTGGAAATTGATTAATTGTAATAATTAATGAACATTCTGTCGACTTATTGAACACTTTGATTGATCGATTGTCATTGCAGATTAAATATTACCTGGGGATTCCCGCAGTTGCTGAGGAGATGAGTATTCCAGGCTGTAACTCTCCCTGTTCTTTCCGCCAATTTATCCGTGTTCTTCGAAGTGTGATACCCTCCGACGAGGACATGATCTGCGTGAAGGACAAAGTCAACAACATGAATGATTATTACAATTACTACTCGGCCACACCGTAATAGAAATAATTGAATTGATTGTGATTGTTGTTGAAGAAATGTTGTTCAAGTGCAAGGCAAGACAAATAAATCATGATAATTTCGCAAATATTACGATTCATAGAAATAGAATATTTCCTGATAAAAGAATCATTAAAACTACATTAGGTGTCAGCGCCCGTCGAGCTTATCCGGGATTACTGATCCGTGATGTTTTCACAGGAATATAAGGCCTGTAGTCGATACATTTTCAGTTTGGTTTGTCATTTCTCCATGAATCTTCAATGGGTAACATGATCAAGTTTGTGGTTCTAGCTTTTTTTGTTGTGACTTGTCGATGTAAAAAGGTAAAATTATCACCGCAAGATGTCGAAATCATTCATTTTCATGACTAAAAGATAATTTGTGTATCCTTAAAAAATTTTGTGTACAAAAGACATACACGAAAAATAAAAATGCGGGTCTACGCTTGCATTTTCATTAAAATTACTTCACAATAATTTAATTAATGTATATTCAATTGATCAGTTACATGATGACATGACAGACGAGGAGATCCAGTCGGTGTTTCACGTTCCACGAAATAAAGGTGCCTGTGAAATAAATAATAGTGATTATTTGAAATTCTGAATTTTACGGATTTAACAATTGAATCGCAATTCATTGTTCCAGTTCCAGATTACGAGGTCGTGCCAATTCGATCTTCCTTCAGGAATAAAAACTGTGGTGGCGGCAGGATAACGATGGAGATGAGTGATGAGTCCATCGATCTATCCCTGGACCCGACGGAGGATTTACTGATCGGTGAAAATACACCGATTTATTTATCCAAGCCGAATAAAAAATTTGATTCCGGCGTGGAGTACATCCCGGTGAAAAATGTGAATACATCATGACATGATGAGTGAATAAATTTTACGAGTGAATATTAATGATTTCAATAATTTTTTAAGGGTTTAAGAAACATAACGATCTACCAGTGTCCGTCAAATCGCGTGGCTCTTGTTGTGGAGCGACGACGGAGAGGGTTCAGCATGTTTGGAGTGATAAATGATCGATTGATTCGACCGATCCCCTCGAGATTGACAGCAGCACCAGCTGGACTTCTTGGCATTCTCTTTGGAAATCCACGAAATCAAATTTTAAGATTTGGTAGTAGCTACGGTAATGATTCCATTGAAGAGACCCATCACATCGTAATGAGGGCTGCACCTCGGCCAACTAAGATCGATCACGTTCATTTCGGTGAGTGTTCCCCAAATCATTAAAAAAATATTTAACTACTAATTAATCCTGTAGAACGGCAGAACAAAAAAATTTCTTCCCACCTAAATTAAAAATATATATATCCGAATATAGAATTGAAATTTAAATTGAATACTAGACATTAATTTTTGCCGTCACGATTTTTTTTTTCTCTAATATTTTATTGTTTTAATGATTTTTTTGACAGGACACAGGAGACTACGAAAATCTCGGGGGATTTCCCAGCTCTCTTTACCCCCGGTGATATTTCCTGAGATATTGGTGGTGATGGATAACGATTTATTCAAGTGAGTTTCATGATTTATCTCGTCGGTACTATTTTGATAATTACAATTGCAATTCAGGACTCAGAAGGAAGACGTGAACACCGCGATTTTATATCTTCTATCGTTTTGGAATGCCGTGGATTTGCGATACAGATCGATGAAGAAACCGGAAATTCGATTGAAGATTGCGGCGCTCGTCATTTCCGTGGTGAGTATTATTATCATATGATCATAATTAATTATCTCCATATCTCAATAATTAATCGTGGAAAAATGTTTTGATAAATCTATATTTTTAATAATTAATAATTGACAATTGCTAATTGATAATTTATCATTGCTCATTGATAATCGATAATTGATTATTGATTCATTGATTGAAGGAGGAAGGCGGTGCCCCATATATTGATAACCACAAACTAAAGACAACTAATGAAGGACTGACCCAAGTGGATGCAGACAAGGCCCTCATGGGAATGGGCAAGTACTTCTACCTCGACGAAAATCTTCCAGATTACGACGCTGCGATAGCTATGACACGGTAATTAATTAATCAATAATTAATAACTAACAATTACAGAGAAGGAAAATATCCATCAATTCCTCCGGTGACATTTCATTTTCAGAACAGATATCTGCAATATGCTGGACTCACCGTTCGTGAAAAATATCTGCGACGGCACGACTCTCGGTAATTTATAAAGATTAAACACATGTTTTTATATTTTTATTTTATAAATATGCAAATATAATATGTTATATCATATTTGCAATATCTATTTTTTAATTATATATTTTTTCTTTTTATTTTCGGTAATTCAATGAAGGATATGCGTATGTGGAAGGAGTTTGCAAGGAAAATACTGCCGACAAAAATACAGAAGCTGTTGGAGTCGTTGAGGATAACGGAGGATTCAGTGGAATCATACCTGCAGCACACGAATTAGCGCACCTGTACGAGATTATAATTAATCATTTCATTTAATCATTACATATCCTCTCGTTCGTCTGAGACGAAGAAATCTTTTTCGTTTGTCCAACAGAAATGACAGACAAGCTTTAGTATTTCTCTAATTTTATTTCTACAACCTTTCTCTCTCTCTTTTTTTAGTCTTGGAGTGCAGCATGATAAAGGAGAATGTGCTGATGGTGGGTACATCATGTCCACCCAGCTCCATCATTCTGAGAAGAGTTTCCAGTGGTCTAATTGCAGTAAAAAAGCTTTTCGGAAATTTTTCAGGTATTTTATTTGATTTCATCGGATTCGGTTTTATGATATTGATTATTATTGTGCTGTTGTTTATTATTATCGACATTTTTTTTAGCACTGCGCAGGCATCGTGTCTATTGAATAAACCCTCGGCAATCAAGAAGAACAAATCAGGAAGAGTTCTCCCTGGAAAAATTCAGTCTCTTGATGAACAATGTGAAAAAGTTTTTGGGGTGGGAGTCACCAAGGCCTGTCAGGTACAAATAATATATAAATAATAATCCAGAAATATCTTACGAATCTCATTATATCAATCTAATTAAAAATTGAATTAATTGCATTTTTCATTTCGAGAATAATTTTTATTCTCAACAGCAATATTTTGAATAACTTAAAATTTAATTATAAAGTTTGGTGAAATCAATTATTCTCTCAAGAAAGCAACAAACAAATTAATATTAATTGTTAAATAATTTATGATTATTTACGTATGGAAAGGTTAAACAGAAAAATCTCTGGTTTTTTTATAAATTCTGTTGGAATTTTATTCGAGCTGAGAGTTTGTGTTGTTATGTGGTATTATTTTAATTTATCTCATTAATGAATTTTTTGTAATTTAAACATTTTCCCGTAGCACAAAAACACGTGCATTCTATTGCAATGCCAAGTGCCTGGGAAGCCATTTTGTCGAGGGTTCGCGGCGCCGGCCGAAGGATCCACATGCGGACCACAAAAGGTAGGAAATCCCCGAGCAATCGACTAAATAAATTATAAATTACTCGCGATTGAAATATTGCAAGTTTCTTGTTTAACTTGATTACAAAATTAATCTCCTCATAGTCTTGACGATTTAATCACAAATAGTTTCACCTGAATCCTTGAATTGAACTGATAAATTCAAAAATTCAAAAATTCGACAATTCGAAAATTCAAAAATTGAAAAATTGAAAAATTGAGAAATGGAAAAATTCAAAAATTCAAAAATTCCTCGATATTTATAACAAACCAATACATTTTCAAAATAATTGATACCAAAACACGAGAAAAATGCGCATTGACATGCGGATAAATGATCATCACCGAGAAAAACTCATAAAAAATGATAAAAATGATTGACGGAAATATTAGCGAAAACAGCGGACATCCAGTTATATTTAACAACTCCGTAAATTCATTACCAGCCAATTTCCACAAGACAATCCTTAATAGACTCATTAAATTTTTCTTCCAGCATTGCATAAGCGGCCATTGCGTGCCTCTCCAGATTTAACGCCGAGTATAAATACACCAGAGTTCATTTAACGATAAACATTACAAGTAAACATCAAAGTTGTATTCGTAAATACATCATTCAATAACTCAGCACAAGTGTTTAATTTATTTTATCAAATTCCCCTACTGGCCTATCTGATTGGAGTGCAGAGGAATTCGTCATCTCCGATTGCTACAGCTCTGAAGCAATAATTCCTATTTATCAATTTTATCGTCCATTTATTCACTTTGCTCTTATCGTATTGATAATTCCAGGCAATTTTTAGATAGACTTGCAGAGTCTCAGTGGAGTTCATGACAGAGCCCATGGCATGTCAACATTTCGCACCGATCGTTAAAGTATTAATCGATATAAATTAATTATACTTTTTAAAAATTGCCCAAAGCTCTATTTGCTATCGCGATGCTCCTAATTCGTTCTGCATTCATAATTTTTATTCTATCACTTGACGTCAGTATTGGATTGGAGTTGAAATTCCTTAATGTCGTAAGTACAAAAATAATTAAATATTTCAATTAAAAAAGTCAGTAATATATTAATTAATTTAATTTTCGATTATTATTATCGATTTCTTCTTGTTTTTTCATTTTGGGAATAAATGCACTTGACAGCCTAACAATTGAATAATTACTGAATACTTGATTTATTGATTTATATTTATTAAAAGGCAGAAAAATGTTGAGAATAATTAATTGATCATAGAAAATGGCGGTTTTAGATATTTCGTCATGGAGATCGAACTCCCAGTGAAGATCCTTTCGAATCATTTCCAACTAGTCCGCACCTGAACGCAACCTATTGGCCTCATGGACTTGGACAACTGAATAATGTAATTACCCCAAATATAAAATTTATTCTTGCGATTGAATGGTTAAATCCTTTAATCCTCGACTTATTAAGACAAAAAAACGCAATTTCCCAATGTTTTCTGGTGTAGTTCCTCTGTAAACCTATATTCATACATTAAAAATACCTAGATCTCTGGAAATAAGAGTGATTTCGTGGTTTTAGAGAGGAAAATTACGACAATATGAACTGGGGAGTTACATTCGCGATCAGTACAACGATTTTTTAGGCAAGGTGTATCATCCCCACGAAATCATCACGCACAGCTCTGATTTTGACAGGATAAAAATGTCTCTCCAGTTGGTCGTATCAGGAATGTATCCCCCAGCACATGAACAACAGTGGCATCCGGCCTTGAATTGGCAGCCAATAGTCTGTGATTATCAGAGAAGAGATAAGGATTTGCTATTGTTTGGTATAGAATGCCCCAAGTGAGTTGATAAAATAATCAATAGAAAAATAGATCTTCTCAGATTTTTTTCTGAATAACTGATTGAGAGATTCAGAAGACGAAAATTGATCATTCAAAAATAGAAGTTTATTTAATTAATTATTTAAGAGGAGGAAAAATTGATGAAATAATGGTATAATAATGTCAATATGTTGAATGGAATGATGGATTCGTTTTTTTTAGACACGCGAGGGAGTTTGATGCTGTGTTGGCTCTTCCTGAAGTCAAAGCAGAAGTGGCAAAGTTCAGTGGTCTAGCTAGAAATGTGTCTGAATGGATTGGAAGACCGATTGCCACCACCAGGGAATTCTTGAGTCTTTACAATGGACTGACGTCATTCCAAGCCATGGACCTTGAACTTCCCCAGTGGACAGCGGGAATTTTTCCTAATGGATCACTGCTGAACGTGGCTACTCTTCATTATCGACTCATGAGTTACAACAAGAGGTTGAAGGCCTTGAATGGAGGTGATTAAATTTTAATCTTGAGATCTTTGCGATTTTTCAGGATTTCGTGACACCGATTTTTCGGAAGTTCCAGCAATTTATTATTTACTCTCGACATTCTTCAAATTTTTTTAGTTTTTCGAGTCAATAACAATTGATTTTTTAATAAAAATATCAATTAGAAGAAGTCGAATGAAAATAAAATAGACATTGAATTTCAAATGTCATTTTTCAAAAATATTAGATCTATTTTTTAATATCAACACTTCAAAAATATTTCGTCATCATGTAATTTAATTTTTCAGAACTGCTTTATTATGTAAAACTATAAAAGAAAATGTGAATAGATTAAAAAACCATTTCCTCAAATTCTAGGAATAATCCTGAGAAACTTCACGGAGAATATCTTAGCGAAAATCAAGGGTCAGGGTCCCCCATGTGTGAAAATGGTGTTGATAAGTGCCCACGAGACCCACCTCGCAAATCTCCAGCTGACCCTAGGGGTGAGTGACGGATACGAAGTGCCCGCATACTCCAGTGCAATTTTCATGGAGCTGCTGGAGGAAATGAATAAACATTACATCAGGGTGAGTGTCAACAGCAAAAATAAAAGTGCAATCAAGAAAATAAATTAAATAGCTGTAATAAATAATATTCATGATCTCCACATGCATCTTGTGATTGCAGATGTACTACTATCTGGGGATTCCCCCAATTCGTCGAAGTATTATAATCCCGAGATGCCCAGATCCCTGTCCCCTCGAGAAATTCATCGATCTGTACGCGGACGTTCTTCCCACCGCAGACGACCTGAAATGCGATCCGGAAAAACCGTAGGACCCCCGTCCCATCTAGAGGTGACGGCCACCAGGAGTTGAAGAAAAAAAAATTTGAAAAAATTTTGAAAAAATAAAAATTCTGCAAAAATCAAAAAATTATCCCATAAAACGTGATTATTATCAATAAATAATAATAAAAACAACTCACCCCCAATATCATTATTTATGATAAATAATTATTAATTCCAAAACCAATTAATTCTTAATCAAGATTTATTATTCATTTCTCATCACTGAAACTTCAAATCAAAAAAATCTAAATCTCAAAATTTTTTAGGATTCTAAGAAAATTATTATTATGATTAAATATTAATAAAAATTATTCGAGTCAATATCATTCTTTATCGTTGACAATAATAATATCAATCATTATTAATAATTATTGATAACGATACTAATTATTCATTAATCGTGATTATCATTTTGTTATACCAGAAGTGGAAGATTTGTTAATCAACTTCAAGTTCTTTTATCACACTTCAATTACATCGCGATAAGGTACTCGAATAGTTGTATCAATCGTTGTTAGAGCACAGGTCATGAGTAATCGGTATCAAGTTTGCGCTGGTATTGCAAAATATTTTCCTCATGGTCTAGTGGAGGGAGAGGAAAACAGTTAATCCAACTAGTCATTATAGGAAAAGTCTAGTCCCTCCGTAGCTTTCGTCGTGGGAAGAGTCTCTGGAGTTCTGATCAATCATGTTAATTAACAATTATCGAGTTTTTCTGCTGGTCTTCATCGGGATCCAGGCGACGCTGGGGCTCAGGGTGAAATTCCTGAATGTGGTAGGTTGTCCTGGTAATAAATGTCTCGAGATTTTTTAAAAGAATTATTTTTTTTTTAAAGATTTTTCGTCATGGGGAGAGGGCCCCATTGGCCAGTGGTACCGAAGTATTTCCTACGAATCCATACGTCAATTATACATTTCCTCCTAATGGTCAAGGACAATTGACCAACGTAAGTTGTCCACGCATTAATTAGAAGTAATCACGCGAAAAAATTCAAAAATTCCGCGGATTTTAGAAAGATTTTTTCATGCATTTTGAAAACAAAAAAAATTATCGTCATTGTTATTTTCATTTATATCTTTATTCTCTTAATTTTTCTCTTTTTTTTTCAATTAGATATTATTTATTATTTTATTTTTTAAGTATTCATTGATTTTTCCACATCAAATTCTCATGTTTTCAGAATAAATGTGTATTTTATATGCATTGTTTAATTCCTATAACAATAACAATCACAGCTATTAATTTATGCAATTACCTTGACGGGAAAACCAAAGATTTTTGAATAAACTCCGAGATAAATTTTTCCTCTCATCATGAACATCTGCACAAAGAGAAAAATGTCTTGGATAAGCAAATTCTTGTATCAGAAAGAGATAATTATAAACAATTTTGCCTTGAGACGAGAACGAGCGTTCAGTCTGAAGAATTACGTGATGAAGTACGATTGATGCAAATTTGTGATAAGTCACGTATTAAATCATTGAATTTTAAATAAATTGAATGTTAATTTTCAGAAAGGCAAACAACAAGTGTACGATCTCGGTGTTCATATTCGCGAAAAATACGATGACTTCCTGGGTGATAAGTACCACCCGAGTCTAGCTCGTGCTCAAAGTTCAAATTCAGATCGAACGAAAATGTCTCTTCAACTGATGATGGCAGGAACATTTCCACCATCATCTGAACAGCAGTGGAACTCCATCCTCCATTGGCAACCAGTCGTGATGAACTACGTATCAGGTCCAGATGTCCTGGTGATGTCCACCGAGTGTCCACAGTACGTGAAAGAATTTCTCCATTCATTAAAATATAAATTAATTAATATATTCTACCCATTCTAATGAATAGATTAAATAATTCTATTTAATTACCAGAAATTAATTAATTTGTGTGCTGTTTATGGATTTCTTCTTCAGGTTCAGTGCTGAATTCGAGAGGACGATGGAGTTGCCAGAGATTCACGAGAAAATTACGGAGTACGACGAATTGAAGAGTAATCTAACAAAATGGACTGGAAAACCCATTGCCGGTACTAGAGATATTGCTGGAATTTACGGATGCTTGAGGGCCTTGAATTCCATAGGATTTGAACTTCCTGAATGGACGAAAGGAATTTTTCCTGATGGAATCCTTTTGAATGCAACTCTTCTTCATTTTCGACTCTGCAGCTACACCAAGAGGCTAAAAACGTTGAATGGAGGTGATGATCTTCACTCTGATTAATTGATATGATAGTTCCTTTTGTTTATTAATAGAATTAATTTATTTAAATTAGACAATAATTGGAAATTTAGATTAAAATTAGAATTGGAAATTTGGACTGCAATGAGGGTGCGATAGAATAACGTATTCAATCGCTAATAACTCGGGAGTGGACGAATGAAATTTCATGATTTCTATTTCATTTTGAAGTTCTGTTTTTTAGGTTTTTAATAAAAAAAAAATCATTCGATTTCAGTCTACGGTTTTTGAGATATTAATAATTGAAGATGTTCCACTTTGTCTACTCTCCAAATGAGAAGAATTGCAATAAAAATAAATTGCTATTGATATTGTTATATTAATTATAAATATCTACAGGGATCATGCTGAAGAATTTCGTGGATACGATGTCATCGGTAATCGATGGCCAATTACCGGATCTGAAATTAAATATCTTCTCGGCTCATGATTACAACATCGCGTCACTTCTAGATGTTTTCGATATCATTGAATCCCACGTTCCTCACTACTCCAGTGGCATCTTCGTAGAGCTCCTAGAGGATGATTATCATAAGTATTACGTTCGAGTGAGTACGAATAAATAAATAATCCATTACAAATCGCGAATCGCGAAAATGGAAAATGAGAATAGATAAAGAAATGGATAACAGTCTTCCCGATATTTTATTGTTCAATCGATCGTTTTAATCACTGAATAATTAATTAATTGATTAATATTGATTATTCATTAATTATTATTCATTGATAAATTGATGAGTCAGTGAAGTAAAATTGTCGATGTAATAAAAAAATTTATGCAAGCTTGTTATTGTTTTTGTTTGGTGGATAATTACCGAATTAATTAATTAGGAAGTAAGTTTTTGGAGTAAATTGGTAATTATCTGATGATTTTTTCAGGTATTCTACTATAAAGGAATTCCAGCTGAGCGGGTGCCAGTCAATATTACTGGATGTGGAGAGTCGTGTCCTTTTGATAAATTCGTTCAACGGTTCAGTGACATTTTTCCCTCCGAGGAAGACCTCAAGTGTCCGAAGGACCAGATTGTGAAAATGTATAAATGAAATGTTTAATTATATCCTAAGTGGTTCAATAATTGAAGAAAATAATTCTCGAGATTTGGCTTCGCAATCTGTAATTCTGTTCAGATAAAGATCAATTTGCGTTTCCATTCACTTTTGTCCTCGGTATTCCGAGCTTTTTGTCGTATTGATGGAGAAAATATTTCACTTGTCATCAATGTCATGTCTCTTTTTTTCGACCCAAGTTTTCGGGCGATATCCCGGAATCGACAAGAGATAGCAATATTTTCACTAATACCTTTTTTACAGCTCTCATCTTTTTCTATAAAAAAGGATTTTACAAAAAAAACGCTCTGTCCCTTCAGTTCCTAGATATCATCGAAAAACATATTCACCAATGAATTATCGATTTTGGAGATCTCCTCCAGTGTTTATCCCGCGAATTCGAAATTCCTGGTGTTTCATCCAAAAATTTATTAATCCATAATAAAAATCTCTATGAAATAAACTATCTTTCAAATTATTTGAATTTATCTGATAATCGATTCCCAGAGGGCGCTGGTAACCCGCACCAATAGCAGCTAGTACGAGCGAGCAGCGGCACTCTCTGGGGCGACACTCTCTCACTCACTCATCTACATCTGAAGTCAGTAAATGTCTCTCAAACTACCCTGATATCATCTCATTTATCAAATACTCTTTCCAGAGATTCTTCAAATACTGATTGAAATTATCGCGGGTATTAATCGTCACATTGTATTGGTGTCATCAACATACTAACATGCATTCCATAAAATTGAAATTTTACTTTTCATGAGTCAAGTCAACTTCTTGACGGAAGTCATTTATGACGTAGAAGGCATAGAAGCGATCTTCCATTTTCTCAACTCATTTGGCTACCAGTGAGCACGTGTTTTGTTGCCGGTCCTTAATTTTCTGTAATATTAACGAATTTAAGACAGGTCGTCGGTCGATAATTACTATCGCACATTAGTGATTGTCAACGTCGAATATAAATCAATTTCCAAACACTATGAATCCTGAAAAGTTGAAGAAGTTACAGGCACAAGTGCGAATTGGAGGTAAAGGTACACCTCGTCGTAAGAAGAAGGTGAGTCAATGAATATTTTCCATATTTATTATTTAATATACGTCATTGGACGGTGGAGACACATATTTTTCATTAATAACGTATTTTGTTAGGATGTCATTCATGGTGATTATAGTACCTTATGACAATCATGCTCCTCTCCAGGGGGCTTTTTGTTTGAAAACTACGATCACCACCATCATCATAATTGTTTAACCGCATCAGAATCATTTTTCCCTTCCTCAGATGATTGTAGATTGTAGTGTAATGAAAATCAGCGGCATCATCACTTTTATATGACCAGCATTTTTTTTTGTTTTTTTTTTCTTCATACACTTGTGCATAACTTTGTCATGACGAATTCATCACCTAATATGGATGCCTAAATTTTTTTATAGTCATTATATTGCGAAATTCTTCTCGAATCGAAGTCTTTTTACTTTTTTATTTGCAAAAAAAAAAATGTTTAATACATGTACATTTTCCATGAAAGGTTGTTCATGCTACTGCGGCAACTGACGACAAAAAGTTGCAAAGCTGCTTGAAAAAATTGTCAGTGAATACAATTCCGGGTATCGAGGAAGTCAATATGATTAAGGATGATGGTACTGTGATCCACTTTAACAATCCGAAGGCCCAGGCAAGTCTCTCGGCTAACACATTTGCCATTACTGGCCATGGTGAGAACAAACAAATAACTGAAATGCTGCCGGGTATTCTGAGCCAACTGGGTCCAGAAGGTTTAACTCAATTGAAGCGATTGGCAAGCACTGTTACTGGAAGTACAATTGCTAAGAGTGCCATGGAGGATGACGATGAGGTTCCCGATCTTGTTGGCAATTTTGACGAAGCGAGCAAAGAAGAGGTGAACTAATTAATCATTAATATCCATTTTATTTCACTCCACTCGACTGAATCCCAATAAAATATAATAAAAATAATTCAATTTCCCAAGGTGGCGCCGAAAAAAGAAGTTGAAGAGCCTGAAAAACCCACTGCTGATAAAAAAGATTCATCGACAGGTGATGAAAAGAAGGAAGCCCCTCTAGCCAAACCAGAAGCCTAACTGGTTCAAAACTAATCGTAAGTGTTTATAAAAAATCCCTGGAAAAGTCGGAAATGGATTTATTAAAAAATTTTATTAACAGTTTGGGTTTTTCATTGTTACAGATGCTCAGCGAAACATACAGTTGGATTCAATGAGTCAAGTGACACAAATTGCTTCAGTGAGGATAGATTTGTAACCCCCCGAAAACAGATAAAAAAAAAGAAATAAGTTACAAAACATTTGACGTACTCTGTGCTACAATTAAATAAGTAACAATTGATTGATTAAAAATGAAGGAGAGCTGAAAATATTAATAATAATAATCATAAAATGGAGAAACAAATCTTTGGCGAGTTTGAGTGTTTGAATTCGACGAAAAAGTGGAAGATAAAAAAATAGCATAATGAAAACTGAATCTTAAAATATATTTTTTTTCTCTTTCCAATGGAAAAAAAAAAGGTAATATAATCGAATGGAATGTCGATTAAAATTCTTCTGCCTGACTCATTATTATACAAACGATCGACGTTTACAGAGCACATGATATTCATCTTACTATTTACCTGGGCATTTTTCTCTAGACACTTCTGCAGTATTTAGTCTTAAACAGTGAATGATGGATTTCTATTGATGACCCAGTTTAACTGAATCTAATTTTCACCTCTCCCCATCAAATTAAAATCGATAGATAGAGCGCCTACATTTTTTATTAATGAACGAGTATTTATGAATTTAATTAAATTTTTCATTGCAGTGCGTTGGGCGATATATTTTATAATGTACTAAATTGAACAAATTTTTCTCCTGACAAAACAATTTTTAAAGGAAAAAAAAATTCTTGAATAGAACGCCGAGGGACGAGAAAAAATGTGGATGAAAAAAATCTGTACAATTCCTAATGGTCTTTCGGAGTACTAGTGTTTAATGAAAGATTTTCTTCATTTTTCGTTTCAATTATTCATCTTTTCATGAGCATTGATTCTGACTGACTCAGGGAAGAGGGAGGGATTGAGTGGAAATGAGATTTCTTAGGGGAATCATTCTTATAAATTGTGATGAGGAAAAATCAGGTCACCCCGGACTGGCAAAATGTAACAATTCCTTTCACTCTTTTTAATTTTTTCATTTTTCACTTTTTTTCATAAAAAATCCTATATGTAAAATTGAGTGTATATAAGAGAAATGTATTCGCAACTTGCACGTACTTCCGTGGCTTTTTTTATTATTTTGTACGAGTCTCTACTACGTATTGGCATCCTTGACACTGAGGACTCGGCTTTCAAAGGCCTTTTGTATCCAACCAGCTCCAATACAACACAAAGTATTTTTTCCGTATCTCCATAGTATTCATTTTCGCGGAATATTCTCTACATTTAATTAATGTTTTTTCTCGTAGTACTATTTCCACAACTCGTCATCGAGGATAAATAGGGTATCGATGTACTGATACCATCCCTCTCACGATGACTTGAAATTTTCTAGTCTATTTTTCCCTTTTCTACGTGACACGTAGAAAAGGGGTCTTAGTGATTGGGGCATTATGCGTCATCATGATTAAAGTACAAGAATTCAGCAAGTAGTCTCCTTTATTTTAGATTACGTAACGCAATAAATAAACTGTAAAAAAACATTTAACAGACGATTAGAATGCAAGTTGAAAAAATATATACAGTGTAGAGCGTCGTACCTATATATTACAAAGTCACGGTCTTTCCTTGTAGATTTAGAACTCACCTCGTCACGAAAGGGTAGGTAGGGTAGTAGTTGGCCTCGCGTGTTACACTTGTAAAACCTTCTGTACACTGGATCTTCTATTTCCGGAGTTATTGGTGGTACTCGACGCACATTTGGCTCCCCTCAGCCAACAAATCTACAGCACGATTTCAAAGTCATATGATAATCACAGGCTGTCATATCGCACCATACTATCACCCCCAATCGAAAGGTCCTTCAATTTTTTTTATTCTTTATCATTCCTCGATAATATCATTGCGCACGCACACACAATTACCACAAAATTTTCAAATTCTATATTCAACTTACATATTCCGCACCACCGAGTGGTCTATTATCTCTCGACGAGGTTAATACGTACGTTATCATTTTACTCCCCCCGAAATAATCGATTTTTTAATTTGATGAGAAATTATGATAAATGTGTTGCTGGTATGCTAGCACATGGATTTAATTTACAAGAGGAAAATTTAATGTCTGGAAATAGTTGTTTACTGTTGGTCGATGATAATTTATAGGGTACCAGTGGGCTATTGTTTGCCGGATGGATGAAATCGGCTTAGAGGGAAACCAGCCCAACTGCATCCAATATCTAGGCTCTCCTCACTAACGGCATTGTTTCTAGTGTGGTCGAGCATACGGTATAGCTAAATATCTCACAACTAGCCAGTTCACAACGTCCCAACGGCTAACCACTAACCACCAGGACAACTGTGATCCACTTGTACAACTAAGTCACTTGTAATAAATGTTTGTTGGTTCACCATTGAATGATTCGCTAGATTATATCATCATCGTGCCAACAGATACAAATGAGCAGTACACGAGAATAATTATTCCCCAGAAGTAGAGACTCATTGCCAGGCATAAAAAAAATATACTAAATGTAAGCCATTTGTTATTGCATATTGCATATTGCCAATCCTAATCATTATACAGACTAAAGAAGACATATTTTTTTATAAAATTCCATAGATTTATTTTAGAGAAAGAGAGGAAATACCACGAGGAATCGGGTGCTGTACACAGAATAACGCTAACCCTTGCGACGGAGTAAAAGGATATTCTGGGGAAATTACTCATGCAATTATCGGCCTCTCCACGATCTCTCTGGTAACTTGATGCATTACATGGTTTAGATGTGTGGCTCGTCACCTTGGGTATACAAGCTCAGCTGAGGTTCCGGAGATATACGAAAATATCGCATCAAAGGAAAATATTGTGCACATAACGAGTAATACGTTCCAGAATCGTCGATACGTTCCAGAATAGTAGAATGACCACCAACGTTCGTAGCTTTGTGTCCATATTGACATTTAAAATTCCTCTATTTCTCATTCGTCCCCGGGACTCATTTCAATATTGCCCAATTTTATTTTCCCTTACCCAATAATGTTATGTATGAATACGAGTATTCATATTGTACGAGTACGATTATTTGTAATTGGCTGTAATAATTATTGCATTACCTTGTTCTCTTTCAGTTTCTTCACTGTTATAATAGTACTATATTGGAAATTACGTTGAGGGAGAGTGCTCTTGTTGTTACGAGAAAGTTTGAGTGGCTCTCTTTCGTTCCCCTCTGGACGCGTCATCTTCACCAAGTGGCAAACGTTTGTTTGCGCACGGTTACACTTCAGCAGTTAACTTGTCGTTCTGTCGTACAGTAAATATATGATATTGCACTTTGAAACTTCAGCTCACATGAAGAACGTCTTATCCATCAAACTTGAGAATTTTCTCTTTAGATTCCATTAGACGAATAAAATGAAATAAAAAGAAGAGATCAATAACCATGAAATATTTTATTCACTAATTTCTTATTCTGAGAATATGTTTCTCCAATATTATTTTCAAACGATAATGAAAATACATCCTTAATAAATATCTCTTCATAAGCAAAGTCTTGACAGCTTAATATAATTCAAGAGTTCATCGATTGTCCACTAGTTCACTGCACTCAAGATTGTTATTAATTAATTCTGCCATTTAGTTGTATTATCCATGACTAACTAATTCGGACAATTGGCTATCAGTGAAATGATTATCTAAAGCACATGCATGCAAAAAAATCTGTACACAGTCCCAGTATTAATGACCTATTGTTTGCTTCCTCTTCTCATTAAACGTATCTCCTCATTCCAGAGACGATTACATAATAAGTGATTTGATGCAGAGGAACTGACCATTTTTTTTTGTAGTTTATCCAATTGAAAGGTGATCCCAATAATATGTAATTTCACTTAATCTTTGTTTGTGGCTTTCTTCTTCTTCTTCTTCTTCTTCTTCTTCTATTCCTCCTCATCTCCTCCTCTCCCTCCTCGCTGGCCTTGATCGTCTTCATCGAAAAGAATAGGAGCATGCAATTGAAAAAGAGGCATCGATCAATAATTCCCTTGTTGGTGGTCCGAATTTAAGGGTGAATAACGCGTGGAAGGATCAGAGGTCATTGACAGTGTTTGATGAAAGCATCGCGGGAGTTTTTCTTTTCTCTCTCCTCTTCCGATCATTGATCGTTTGAAGTTGAAACATGAAACACCATCACTACTATCGTGAAAATCCCATGAATAGCTTTGTAATTTCCGGGGCATCAGCCATTTAATATTTTTATGCTGTAGCTTTACCTCTACAGCAAGCTATTGATTGAAAAGTCACTTCAGTAAACTCTACATTGCGCTGTTAATCAGAGAAAACTCTCGTTAGCCGGATTGGCTGCCCCTTCGATTGTCTCCAACCCATGATTCTCAAGGCATTCTCCACCCTCTTCATGGTCACAGGACTTAATTACGTAATTATTGACTGGATCACCAAATTGGCTGTGATAAAATTCTTCCCTCATCATGTGATTTAGATTACCACAGCGAAAAAATAGAATTTCGCGAAATGGTTTGCGAAAATCTCGATTCAATGTTGCATATATTATAGGATTGAAGAGGCTGTTGCAGTAGCCCAGCCATAAGAATAAGCTGGAAAGCGATTTTGGAATAGCCTTAGGATCATCCAAGAATGGACGCACCAGGGCAAGAACGAAAAATGGTAACCAGCAAATTGTAAACGCACTCATTATTATTCCAAGTGTAGTGCTTGCTTTTCGCTCTTTAGCCAATTGGAATCGAAGTTTCTTCTGATGCGGAGAGCTCGATACACTACAAGTACTATGCAAATGATTTCGTACAATTGTTGATTTTGTTATCAAGGTAGTTGACGATACTATTGTTTTCTCAGTTCTCAGGAGCATTGGACACTGGGATTCATTGCTCTTACGTGGACCACCAGCGAAACACTTGACTCCATGTCCGCTGCACTGTAATCACCAATAAACAATTATTCTACGAGTGTAAATAACATCAGGCATTTTACAAATCAAGAGAAGAGAAAAAAAAGAAATTGAAAAATAGGGAGAATGATGTGAGGGAGGTTTATCCATTTGTTTGTCACCCCATGGCTATTTATTGATCGATTCTTCCAAGTCTTCCTATGACGATTTTCTCAGCCGCGATTTCTTGTTGAGTATATCAAGTATTACACATCAAATATTCTCAAATTCAATTTTTTTCTCCGGCAATCGTTGTCCAAAATGTTGGGTTTAACTGTAACAATGGTTTTGTTCTCTTTGGAAAGAGCATTTGTATGATTCGTAAGGAGACGGTCTGGAAATTATGGCTCTGGTGGCAATTTCACGGCGACCAGATCGATTGAGCGGGGCAACACATACACACTGTCGAGTGACCCGGACGCTTGGCCTATGAAAAGAAAAGTCGTAAAAAAAAACATAGAACAAATGAAAATACTTGGATTTTTTGGTCAGCTACGGTGGGACACTTGTTCAGTTGGAAAGTTCAGAAAATTCATCAGTGAATTCCAACCGAATGCAATATAATTATTGGAACGGAAGATATTGCACTGAGTTTTTTATTTATTTCTCATACTGACGATATTTCATTGAGAAATGAAAGAGTCGTGAGTTTAACGTGAAAAATTGCTACGTAAGGCTGAGGTCACAATGTGAAGATTGACGGGGACGGTATAAATTTTGCACGACGGATCTGCTGGTGGTGGTGAGACCGGAGAGTGCACTTTTGCCAAGACAAATTCACTAGGTAACGACCAAAAGGGACTTGTGAAATCGACTTGGACGAAATGCCTGGGAGACACTCTAAATTTTCAATGTTAAATAATTTAACTTGACGGGTGAATTTTCAGGGTCTTGATGTCTTAATCTGGGAAATGCATTATAAATCCCTGAGTGTGAACCGCTAATGAAAAGTCGACGCTATCCCCTGGTAGAATTTCCCTCAAAGCCCTTTTACCTCCGTGAAAATTGAAAATGTAACTATAACTATACCACTAAATTTCCTAGCCACTGCTGGGATTGAGTCACCCTTCAACGGCTTGGAAAACATTCATCAAGGGTTGAAAATGATTTTCGTCAGATGCATATTTAACTGAGTCCGATTTATTACCGGAGTAGAATTAATTTCGAACGGTGATAAATCCGTGAGAACCTCTTAATCCACTTTAGCATTTTCTTTCGAGTCTATTCACTGCATAATAAAATCGGTATATTATTTCGTTTGTCGGAATCGCTGTGTGCCATAAACCGAGGTATTTTCCGCGTGAAGATGATAGCACTCAATGATGAGTACCTCAAGAGTGTCAAAAGTACCTGCCCTTGAAATGTTGAATTTCCTCTTATTATTGGAGCATTTTCGAGACATATTACGTACGACCCCTTGTACTACTAGCACCGAGGCAAACATGAAGAGATGCTCTATACCTAACAAACCCTTTCATCACCATCTCAACGCCCCGATATAGCATCATGTGTTATGTCAACAGCTTGTTCAAATTACGCATCATAAAAACGAAATATTACAATAATTATTACTAAAATTGTTTAAATATCTCATATCACATTCCACTAAAATTATTTAAATATCTCATATATTCACATCCATTTCGCTCATATATTCTATTCCGTACAGAGACATCTATTACAGAATCAGTATTGATTAATTATAAATTGAAATTTCCATTTGACCAAGCATAATCCACGTTTTATAAACCCATATTTTTTTTTCTGCCTTTTCCGATTTTCCGAGTGTACGTGACTTTTCTCTCTCGCTTGAAATGGGAAAAAGGGAAAACCTTGCAGAAGCTGTTGCTTTGGAATTGACTTTTTCCAGGACACACACGTCCAATGGATTTTATCTCCAGTGTGCCTCTGCAGGACAACGGATTCTTCCTCAAGTTTATTTGGTGATGTATAAAGCGTGGGTAAGTGTAAACTCTTCGTGGGCCCATGTTAAGGCTTCCGAAGAAAATTTTTAGAAAATATTGTAGAGAAAGAGGCTTTGTGTCGTGAAATTAACGCGGATATTGGCTCATTCATCGAGTCGTATTTAACAAGTTATCGATAAATTAGTCGGAGAACTATTTTCAATGTTCTTTAATTTTCCTCTCGCCTGAAGAATTGTCGGAATTCACCTCTTGACACCGAATAACCAACCGTTCGGAAAATCGAAGTTGATTCCCTCAAAGTTAGAAACAAGTGGATTCGTAACGTGCCACGATGGCGGTGGTCATTGATTTTCCTTTGGGCTAACTCCGTTAATGTGCCATTAAATTATCAGAGGTCATTCCAACGGAGATAATTGAACGGAAAATTGCAGGTCTCCAGCTATACTTTCTCCATCTGCTTAGTTGCTCTAAACAATAAGCTCAATTGATTGGAGATTGTAATCAATAAATTTGAAAAGGGCAATGAGAAAGAAAAGTAGCAAAAGTGAAAAATAAGTGTTTTCCGCGGAATTGAGTTATTGGATTAGTCGAAGCGTCAGCTAGCAAGCAGTGAGCACTACACAGAAATTTTATTTTTCACTTTTTATCGTTTCACTGACAGTGTAGTAGTGAATGCTATTTCTCACAGCGTAGAAAATAGTGGTTAATCGATATATTGAAGAGTTTTGGAGGTGAATATTTGGTGTTTGGAGAAATGAGGAATAGCGGAGATTGGTTTTCCAGAGGGGGAAAGAATGCCAAACGACCAACTTGATCGATCGTTATTCCTCTACTTCTTTCTTCAGTCACACTCGATTAACCTATAGGTATTATAATCCATAACATCAATCTCCTGCATTCACCACCGCTCCAGCCGTATCCCCTCTGCGAACTCGCACTTATTCATTATTATTTTGCACTTTTCCATTGAACTGAAAAAAAATATATATAATATAAAAATGAGGTATGAAAAACTGATGCTTAACGACATACATTTTTTTCAACACCAATCATAAATTTAACGAACGATGCCGTGTAGTCATTTCGATGGGGTTTCTTGGAAACAATTTAACAAAGTGCATACAGATTGAGGGGTATATGTACACGACTAACCATTCAGCAAATGCACGTTGGACCGGGGGGGGTGCGAGAACCAATTACAAGCTGAAACGTAAGGCTATGTAGGTTGAGGTTAATTGAACTAACACCCCCATGTTGTATTCGGCACACTCGATTCTCCAAGCTCCCAACTTTCTTCCATCTCCTACCCCCTAACACTTTAGAATAAACTAAAAAAAATTCATCTTATTAAAAAATACTGAGAACCATGGAGTTTGAATTTTTTGATCATCAAGGACTGTTGAGAATTAGTGCCTGTGCATGACAGGAATATGTGCTTACCCTCGCACCTGTCGATATATGACCGCGGTAATTTTCGTGGTACGTCTGTCGTCCACCTCCGGGGGTCAACCACACGCATATAGCTATAAGGCTTGAGATGATATCGACCCTATCGAGCAAGAGGAACCTATTAAATTATAAGTGTTGACCACTACTGTAATGGAATTCATAGGTTATGTTTACTTAAATAATTTGTCATTCTGATGCGTTGGAAGATGTGCCACTTATTTCACATTCATTGATTCTCTTTCAGGAGGACCATCCGGGATAATGGAATACCAGACTCATACACGATCTAGTCAAAGTATATTATGTTTGCGTATGCAACCTAGCGCGCTCCTTCCTCGCTATAAGCTCTTAATCTCACCTTCCATAAATCATTGTATAATTCGCCACGTGAGACTTATTTTTATTATATTTATTCTTTGCAACTTTCAACAAACGAATCACAGAGGTGTTTCAGTTTGAAAAAGAGGAGTTGAGAGATTAACAATTGAGGAGTATCCTGGGTCAGGGCAGCGGAAGCTCATGAAATGGCGATAAGTTTGATGATTTTTGTGTAAAGCTCATAAATCCATTCCTCCACGTCGGCAGTCAGACAAACCCACCAAGGCAAGGTAAACCAAGCCGATAAGCTATTGTCGAAAATAAAGCGAAAATCGACATTGTCATTAAATTTAAATACAATTATTTATCCGATCGTCCAATCAATTCTCCCAATTCCGGCGATTCCAGTGCCCTTTACTTTTTTCCACGAGGTAAATAATCAATTCTATATAATAAAGATTATCTGGTGGTGGTCTGACGGCAAAAATTTAATTAAAAGCTTTTAAGTTTAATTTCTCAATTAGCCCGACGGCATAATTTAAAGCATAATTCCCCTTCGTCTCTTTCCGTCTCGAGAGTTAAATTGGAAAAGATTGTGGCGGCGAGCGAGCAACATTGAAGGAAAATCGTTCCTCTTCACATTTTTTCCCTCAGTTTCGTTTTTACCCTCGAAAAGCATTTTTTATGAGCGTGCCGAGCTCGTAATCCTCGTACGAACTGACTTTGAGGGCGGGTTAAAATTACTTCAACGCACTCAAGTCTTGACAAAAAAAGAGGAAAGATATAGAGAACAAACATGGCCCTCCCCAAGGTTGTCCCAGGATTTGTAAGGAAACGCGACAGGAGCTTCCGTCGTGATGGCAACATCGTGATGGAACGCAGGCGTATTATCCATTCAACATTCGTGCTATTTTCAAATAAAAAAAAACTAAAAAACAAAGGCATTGTAAGGCACGGAGGATTTAGTGTTAAAGTTTCACGATAAGAGGATAGCTCACTAAAGAGGTAGCGCACAGTTTTGCTTCTTGGGAGTTACCGAAATGCACGATTCTACATCCGTAATAAAATCACCTGGATAAACAACTACAATTGTTATTAGATTCCGGCATAAATTTGTGATATAAAAATATCAATATCACGAAATGTCTGCTTTGCATGGAGAAGAAAAGAAAAAAATTCTCTGGTTTAGCAAGGAAATGCATGTTATTCACAGATGAGAGTGTGAAACCCCGAGAAAAAAAAAACGAATAAATTAAATGGAAGAGAATATGCTGAATGAAAAAAATAGGGAAGAATATGTAACAAAGGTGGAAAAGTGGGAGTATATTATTACCCTTCATTTTTTTTCCCGTCGGAAAAAAAATGTGGAAAGAGCCACTGGGACAATATATATAACTATATGCAGAAGAAATAAACGAAGGATCTACTTCACATTGAGTTGTTTTTAATGTACCTATAAAATTTCACAGTCGATCGTAAAGACTCGCAGCCATTCGCTGGAAGGTACAGTTGAAAGCCATGTCGTTATACTAGCAAAAGTTTTGGTAGTATAAGGTTTGAATGATAGGCTCGAAAATGGACAAACTTTTAACTAGCTCGACTTGTCAGTAGAACTTATCCCGCCTCATCAGTCCATCAGGGCAATGTATCAAGTGCTGAGTGCTAGCTTTAATGGTGAATAGTATGATATTGTTAAATAAATAAATGAATCTAATGATGAAGAGGGAAACGAATAAAAATTGAACAACCGTGGAGCTTTAGTTGATGCAAGTTCCGTCTGTACATGCAGGTTCCGTTGGGGTTGCATTATATTATGCAGTCGGAAGAGGATGAAGTTCTCAATTCCCCTTCCTCCTCGTTTGGGTCTCGACGGGCATACCCACACTAGCAGAGTGGCTATGGGGTGGGATAGAATGAAATTCGACAATAAAATTACTAACGAAATTTTCGCGTATTCGTGGATCGTGTTCTGTTCATCCCCCCGCGTCCGGCCTACATTCCAATTCCCATCTAATATATATGTATATATAAATATATATGAAAAGAGAGAGAGAGAGAGAGAAAGAGAGAGAGAGAGAGTAATATGAAAAATAGAGGAATCACTAGAGAAATAATGAAGGTAAATGTGAAAGAAGAAAGGATTTCACGCAACACAAAAAGCAGAAAGCAAAAACGTTTTATTTTTTGATCACTTCTATGATAATTTGCTAAAAAAATTGAAAAACATGAATTTTTACTGTAGATGGGTGTAAAGACACTCTAAAAATATCAATGCAACAAAATCGATGCAATTTCTCATAAAAATGAATACAAAAAGTAATTTAAATATTTATCTATTTGGAGCTTTGTGCCTATATATTCATTGAATTGTTTCCATGGAGAATGCGGAGGATGAATAACTTCACGACAACTGAAAAAAGAGGATCAAAGGAAAAAGGATCGAGACCCTAAGGTGTACAGGACGCATGACCGCAGGCATTGTTTTAATTAAAGTACCCCGGGCTTGTTGTGTCGCGTTGTTATCCCCCAACAAGGAAAATGGGCTAAAACCGAGGGGTTTTTTAATATCTCCATGATAAACATCTCATTCGAGCAATGAGAGGGACCAGAGATGCGTTACCAATCATTATACGTCTGTGTCCACTCTACGATTTATGTGAGAAAGTGAATGCTGATGTTCTATCAACGACCAGTGACTACCTGGCCACATCTCCACTTTCAATTAATTACGAACCATGGAAATAAATTTCCCTCGAGATGTCGAGAGCCTAGTAGTCGGCGAAAGTGTCTGGAAATTTAATGTTCCACCTCACCGAGTCGATCTAATTTCCTGCTATTGCAGGTAGTGCACATTTTTACTAAATCGCTGGTTCTTCCCTCCATTTATCAAGACAGTAAAAAATAAAACATAAATCTAACTGTGATTAACCATCTATATCTAACCATTTAACTAATAGTCGATCATTCCAGCAAGTGCACTACGATGTGATCAATTACAATCTATCAGTTGATGATTGTCTTTAGAAATCATATTGCATTTACCAATGGAAATGGGATTTTTTTTTTCATTTCTCCACCAACTAATTTTCCCCTGTCAAGTAGAAAATACCTAGTTATAGCCAGACACGCGCCTACAAGTGGAATACGGAAAGAGCCCCTTCGGATTAGTTTCTCGTTATTCTCTTTCCCAAATCTCATTTTTATCAATTGTTCTTCAATTACTGTTAAATTTTATCTTAACTATCATTTTCTACTTGGCTCTTGAAAAATATCCATATATTTATCATCCGACACTTTAGGGATGCGCATCAAGGTTAATTGACATTTGGCCTTGAGTGATATACATCGAGGATGGACCAGGAAATATTAGCAAACAAGCCAGTGAAAACCAAGGGACCAAATCACTTTGCTGGATATCCCTTTGGACAGCGCTTGGACATTCAGCCTGTTACCATTAACCTGTCCACCATCTGTCGTGCCAAACGCTTTCCTATAGGCGAGATACTGTGAAATTTCGGCATTCGAGGCATTGAATTTGGGGTATAGACAGTGCAACCTATATATTGGCCCATATATATTTTTCTATTTTCATTTGTATTCACTTTTTTTAAAATATAGCTATTGGGTTCTTGAGTGAAGGAGAGGAGAGAAAAAAGAAGAAAAAAGAAGAAAAAAGATTGAAAAAAGATTGAAAATATTGACATGTATGAAGATGTTATTTTGAATGTGGACTGACCGTGGTGGAAGCACTGGAGCTACGATGTTGTTTAATGGTAGGACTACTGTGTGTCGGCTGAACGTCAAAATTCGAGGGATGACTAACGGCGCTCGTATGATGCGATACTGGTCCTATATCCACATTGCAGTGAGCTTCGAGATGACTTTGGGCACGTCTTTCCTCCAGTACTATTTTTCGTGCCGCACTGAATATTCTATAATACACCTTGACAAACAAACAGAAAAAAACAATCCACGTCATAATTAAACTTGCAGCAGTTAATGAATGATTCGATAAAAATTTTACATTATCATTAAATTGACAACTTACCACAATCATGACAATGAGTGGTATGTAGAAACTTCCAAGAGTTGCGTAGATCTGATATCCAAAGTTTTGACAGACATCACAATGCCAAGCACCCATCTCGAATTTGTGTTCGTTACCCAGAATAAGAAGAGGTGGAAGACTAATACAAGCGGCGACCAACCAGACGAGAGTAACGCAGAGTATCATGCGTCGTGGGGTTCGTTTAACTCCATACTCCAGTGGTTTTGTGATGGCCCAATATCTAGGAATAATATTCTTTTCATTTCATATTTTACAGAATAATGAGAAAAAAGAAAAGATATGAATCACTACTCCTTCATTTTTATAAAAAAATTTATAAGTTGATGTAATATTTTTAATGAATTAATCCACGAGTGACAATATCACATCCGCGTATAAGTTTTCTATTTTCTCAACAAAGCAACGAAGAATTTTCAATAGATTTTTTAATAGTTCATTTTCGACAATCACTATAAGATGTATTTTAGTATTAACGGGTTCACATTTATCGCACGTAGATACATGGGGCTATTAATATGTCGCCTCGCTTAGGTACTTCGTTACCGTATACGAATTACATCAACGTCTCCTGTGACAATGTTATTACTATGTCATAGCGCGTCTCTCATCTACAACAGTGATATGACTCGTTCCTTCTATGATATGGTTTAATCAATGTCCGTCACATAATTTAAAAATATATCCAATAATCCCAATTGAATTCTGAATTTTTCAAATATGTAAAATAATAATAAAAAAAAAATTGGGCCGAGAAAATGCGAAACGGAACACCCTCGGGGAGAAGATGGGGATAAAAAATGGAAAAAGGTAATTTGGTAATTTGAATCTTTTGCCGCTTCAGGTTGACTCGAAAAAAGTAAAAAAATATTATCAACTCAAATTGGTACAAGATTACAAAGCCAGTAGTGAAAAAAATATGGATTAACAATTGACCAGGCTAAAGGATGATTTTATTATATTATTATGAAAATTTCGTAAGATTTCTCACCTGTCGACTGATATCATACAAAGATTGAGAATGCTCGCTGCACAACTGAGAACATCAAAGCTCACCCACAAATCACATAAAAATTGTCCAAATGACCACGTCCCCAGTATCTCATAGAGCAGTGCCATTGGCATCACCAGAAGAGCAACACAAAGATCACTCACTGCTAGACTGACAAGTAGGTAGTTACAGGGTCTCCGTAATTTTCGAACTAAGCATACCGCAACACACACCAGTATATTTCCTATTACGGTGCCTATTACGATGCTTCCGAGGATCAATCCTATGACTATTGCCTGAAATTATTTTTTTATCGAATAACAACAATTTATAATAATTTATGAGTGTGGAATGAGTGATGGAGTGACTCATTACCTGTGTTGCTGTATAGGATGAAGTTTTGCCAGGAAAAGATCCAAAAAAGTTGTTGGTATCTTCGACTGCAATCGGCGTGACATTTAGATGCCAAGTATTTTCCGTACTTTCTACCTTTCCCTCCATCCGATCTTAACCGATAATCTGGAGCATCCCAAACGCCCCACCTCCACACCACTAGGTCATTCTCTCTTGTATATCGCCTTCTGCCTTCTGCCCATCCCACTTTATCCTGTGATCCCGGCAGCCTGGGCATCTATACTCTTTTCACTTTAGTTCTTTCTCCTTTTCCCACAACACTCCACCATAAAAATCTTCTCAACCATCCGACGAACCCTTTTCACTAGCCACCTATGCACTCTCTGTAATTAAACAAAAATTCATTTTATTCACCAAAAAATTTATCTCTCACTCGCAATTCTCTACTCTACAATGCTCGGGAGTTTTTAATTTTATTTATTATAACAAGTATAAATAGAAATTATTCAAATAAAATAAAGGGGGAGATGAAAAAGTCTCCAACAATATTCAAATATACAGCGATAATTACCCACATGAAGCGAATTCATTGGCTTTAAAATATTTTACAACTGTCTCATAATAAGGTATTTCTCTAGCTCGGTTTGTGCGGCAACGGAAAGACTTTATCGTACTTTCGATTGGATGGTTCCGTGATATATATTCGAGTGAGATGCAACACAAATTCTCGCTGAAGAGGTGAATTGTCTTTTATGAGGGTCCAGCGAACCAAGTTATGCCGAATAAATTAACAATAAAACCTACCACATGATTCCACTCGTCAATCTCATGAATTGGCCCATTAATTCTCATGGATATTCATATTTCCACAGGGAAAATACACACACATGCCCAACAAATGCACAAACAAAACGATAAATTTTTTATAAAATTAAATTCTCCATGTTGCTCTCTTCCATTGAAAAGAAAAATAACACAGCGCACCAGTGATACATAATATTGTATATTCACATTATTGGGAAGCATCCTGCATCGGTGTCATTTGTTTAATGTTAATAATTTCGAGATGTGTTATAGCATAGGGGAACTGTAAATATGTATCTCAATGTGATGAAAATTTCATATTGACATTGAATCATTAGTAGCGATGTGCATGCAGTGAATATTGTACTCTGAAAATGATTTGCTATCAACTGCTCGAAATCGCAGAGTATCGGTTTCCGTCAATTTACCATACTGAAATATTTACAAAAGCTCATCAATAATGTCCGATTTTTGATTGCCTGTTGGAAATATAGCCCAGGGAATTCAAGTATAAATTAAATCACCAACTGCACAATAAGCAATTGTAATTGTGGTGCCATCATTGCGCAATAGTTTCAATAGTTTTCCAATATAACGCAGCGATCATTAATATGGATTTTTGTATTTCATTTGGAAAAATATAAAAGAAAAAGACTGTTCTATTCACTTTTATTTCTTATGCGCTATGATTTTATCAAATGTTTTTTATGTTTTCTCTCTGTCAAGAAAGATTGAAAATGTTGAGCCTGAAGTGGTAAAACGACTCAAGTTGGTGGTACAATGAATGCCCAAAAAAGAGAAAAAAAGAAATGCAATATCCTGCAGTAAATGAGATGAGGGCAGAACTCCTCGACTCACATTTAACTCTCTTCCTCGCAATTCTGGATTATATTCGTGACGGTTAAATATTTGCTTCTCCCGTAATATATAATTCTATCTAGAGGTACATGGAAGATTCCTACAATTATGTCACAGTTGATTGATTTTGCAGTAAAATCATTCTCTTGGCACGATATAATAAAAAAAAAATCTGCACAATATCTATGTATAGAAGGTCAAACAAGTTATAACTTTCAACCAAATGACAAAAAATTTACTTTATGCATCACATAATGCGCTCTGATGCGGTGTACAACACCTATACAGTATGATTTCAATTTCATGCTCTATGACGAGATCATAATGAAATTTCACGTCTCATAGTATTTTATTCCACGCGTCTCTTTTCATGAGGGTAATATTCAACGACGAGATGCATTAATCCCCTGACCCGAATACGATGTGTTGCATACGAGGTTGCATATCTTTTCTCTTGTCACACCAAATTCATCATGTCTAGTAATTGGTTTTGTTTTCCAACCGCTAATCCGTGTATCGTTCCATGCTTCGTTATAATTATTAAAAACAATTATCCGTATACCTATAAAATTTTTAATCCACGGATTTTCCCTTTCCTATTAAGTAAACGGCCACAGGGGATACAAAAATAAAAACTAAAAGAAAAACAAGGAATTAATCTCAACATTTAGAAGGTTTAAAAAATTATATGATGAGTGGATCATCAAGGTTTGATACAAATTAATGAACACCGGGAGGATTTTGGAGAAGACTGAAAATTCCACGAGCTCGTTCGAACACTTTCATATATGTATTATGTATTCTGTACAAGCGGTTCGTTTCACGTTTCTCGCATTGACCGTTGAAGGATTAATCAATAATAATAATGACTCTATATAATGAGCAACGCATCTATTGTTTGATCTACACAAGCAAATCGAGCAATGCAAATTAGTAAAGATTGACATTAGAGATTTAATGTTCATCTTGGCCAAGTGTCAGTTGAATAAACTTTGTTGCGGATAGGGACGAAAATTGAATTTTCCATCGTCATGGGATTCCGTTGGAACCTGCCTCAACAGTTCTCCCTCAGTGTATCGATATAAATCGCTCGAGAAGAGGATTACACACTAAATATTTAATATCAGAACTTCCCCATCCATTAGTATCTACTTTTTCATCAGCATTCCTCACCCCAATGTTCATCATCTCGCAAAATAATGATAATAGATATTTCGTTCTTCCTCTATCTACATTATTATTGTGTTTTTTATCAGATGCCATTTTTATTTAAAATCAATTGACACGATAGTGTGCGATCGATTAATCCCGAGGGTCCACCCCTCCATTGAAGGATCACGAATGGTTAAGGAATAGGCCGAGATGAGATATGAGTGAACCCTGAGGAGAGTTCCATATCCCATTGGCTTTGACCCCCTCTTGTTGATGAGAAATTGATAGTATATTGAACGGGAATTTCCTAACATTCGAGCAATACTCCAGCCAACAAATAGCCAATGAAAATTAATCATTTCTCTGATAATATATATGATGAGAAAAATATAAATTTCTTACCATCCATGTTTCGCTGATAACGCCTTTATCTCAATGGTTGTTTTCTGTGTACTTTTTATACATTTTATATTATATATTTTATACAATTGAATATCCCGCACTATTATGGGGTGGGTTGTCAAATGAAATTATATAATTGGGAGTGCAAAACATGGATGAAAACCGATGAAAGGCGATACGTTAATTACAGTAACCGCTTGCGGTTGCTGTTTGTGATCCCTTGTTCAACCTGAAAATCCTCGTGGACATTATACATTTGTAGTCTTTAATCCTGATCCACCTTCTTTAACCGTTATTTATTATTTTTTTTTTAATTTTCATTTTATACCCGTCATAGAATAATATTCGTTTAAAGTATATCGCTTCACCGCAGCTTTTCCGATACTTTTCCCTCTCGGTACATAGATTAGAAAGTTCTTTTAAATTTTCCGCTCAAGTTCAATGAGATCCATGCGATTAAACACAAGTTGATGTTCCCCCGAATTTCATTTTCACTTGTACTAATTTTCACCATTTTTTCATTCCACTGAAATAAACCAATAAAATTTCAGCCACTTACACTTTAAATAATGAAAAATAGTTTGCAGTACTCTGCATCAAATTGAATTTTATTATTAAATATTTTCTCTGTTTATTCCATTTAAAATTGAGACATATTTTTCAATAGAATCAAAAATTTCAAAAACCTTTGTCAATGGGAATTTTTAAATTTTCACTTGTTTAGCGTTTGTTGGGTTGCCGGAAGAGTAGAAAGAGTACATGGGGAGTGTGAAAGATCGAATAGATGTTTTGTTGTTGGCGTGCGTCGTACAACTAGACTGGGACGACGTTCTTGCCGTTGACCCGGACGTGGCTTGCAGCGCAAGCGCGGCGCCGCCAAATTATTACCCTATCCGGAAAACCATTCCTTGTGTGACGTAACCCCCTGGCCCCTGCATACCGCTATTTCGTTTGAGTATTTCCTCACCAACTCCTACAATTTCAATTCAATATAAATAATACCAAAAGTAAGTACTGACAACTCAAGACAAATAATCATCAGCATGTCCTTGCCCTTCTTCCCAATTAATATTAATCACATCTGTGGATGTTCTCTCGAATATATATTAAATACCTTCGTGTTTTCAACACAGCTATTCCACCAGCCATTCATTCAACCGAGCAAGCACATCATCATTCGAAATTGAATAAAGCCCTTCATCTCCATACCTTATTTCTCGCTAGTATAACGCTAGTCACGAAAGGATTTCCATGTCTTGGAATAATACTGCATAAAAGAAGGAAAAAAAAAACAGATAATCTAGGGAGAGAGAGTTGCAATAGGTTATTCATACGGAGATTGAATCTAGATAGATAGATCCCGCTCAATATTCGTTGCATATTCGGAATAATTTTTAAGACGCAATGACGTTCACGTGAATATTTTTCACAAGAAAAATCATGTACATATGTAGGTGTTCAGCCGAAATATGTAATATTTATGACTCAGGCTTGAATATCCGTGTTCAGTGCCAGGTGAGACAAGAAAAGGGCCCAATTCCTTTTCAATGAGACACCAAATTTTACTAATGCTCTTTTCTGATGTGACTCTGCTATTCCATTGTTTATTCAATGCAAGTAACGTCTGCTGCTCAACCGAGGGAGATTTCCAAGTTTATTGCGTGTCCTCTCTATCTCTCGGCTGTTGTGGTAGCGGGTGGAGGATTCACTTTGACTCGGGAATTAACTGCTCAGACACTATTTCCCCTAAGGAAAATCTCCCAACAGCTCCTGCTATACCTTGCTGTGGCCTTTACAATTGCATTATAGGTATAGCATTTTTTATATTCGAGAAGCTGTTGCCAATTTATTTTAATGCAGTCCTGCATAAAATTATATGGTTTCAACAAAAATTTTTTTCAGACCTCCAAGGATCAGATGTGATCCTAAAATCCCCATGAAACATGATAGCGTTAACGCACCAAATCGTTCATTAATTAATGATCAAGCTCATGGTCCTGTACAGAGAAGGAGAGAGAAGGAGAGAGAAGGAGAGAGAATAGAAAATATTTTTACCCGTGGGTTCTGTCAATTATATATGGAACGAACGTTTGAATTAGGTGAGCCCTACCTCTGGCTAATTGAATTAAATTCATAGATCTATATACCTAGCTGAGTCCAGTGTGCATTCCTGTCCAACGCCCATGTCCAAACAACCGAGTGTAATGATAACGCCTACAACAAGCAACACATTCGAAATTCCAATGTGTGGAAACTGGTATTTGGACATTTAGTGTCCCTAAGAATTCTCTCATCCTTGAGAGCGTCCATGCAGAAATTCGGGTGCAGATGCGCGTTTAAAGCCTCGCATAAATCATAACTTGGGCGTACGACATAACTCGGATGCACACTCATCCCTAGCTTGGAATAATGGAACCCCCCGATAATTTATACCACCAACCACATATAAAGTGTAATTGTCATAGTTAGTTGCGTGTTGGTTGTGGTGCTCACACTCGATTTAATCGAAGGATTATGATATTCGAATAAAATACTGGAGGATGTGAGAAATTTAGCACTGGACTAAATGGCATGCATATATCTCAAGATGAAAGCACTAATAGCCTTCGAAATTCCTCATGAATTCCTCCGTGTAATCCATACGTGGTTGAAGCAAATGAAATTACGATGCAATTCGGATGTTCGACGCGGTGAGAAATATTTATAAATATTTAGAAATATTTATAAAAATTACGGAACCCTCAGTTCAAAAATTTAAATGGCGGTATCGTAATTTTTCACAGATAATTCCTCTAAAAATTATGGAAAGCCGCTGAATAATTCCGTGACAGCTCTGTAAAATTCCCTACAACCACATTTCTCTCTGGAATTACGGCGACACGTAATTTTTATTGAATATTTCTCTCCGTGTAGGTATACAAAATCAAACCGACCGCGGAATTGACTTTTTATAATGACCCTCACCCAATTCGCATGGCGAGGATAGTAAGTGCATCGTATTTCTGTTTTTAAATTCGGCCAATTCAATTTCCACTGCAGATGTTTTTCTGACATAAAAGTTTTTCATTTTATTGTTATATGCCGTATCTACGGCTACACTTGAATTCAAGGATTCATGTTTTTTTTTTAGTGCTTGGCATATAAAATAAGGATTCCTTATTTTCATCGCATGGATTCTCCTGGTTTAAAAAGGCAAACGGTCCACTACATGCCCTACGATCAATTTCAATACAAAAATTGGCTCAAACTTATTTTTCCATTTAATTGCGAGTGAATATACAGGACTAAGTTCATCAAATTTTCTCTCTCTCTCTCTTTATCTCTCTCGAGTATATAATGAAATTAAAAATGTCATAAATATGTTTAAATCTTTGTGGCCCCACTAATGCTGATCTGATAGTGGGAATTGTACAACTCGTAAAACACCAATCCTTACGAGGCTATTGCGTGTCGGGGGCTTACGGTAAAACTTGCTCGAATGGCTATGGAGACACATCTAGAGCTACCCTAGCTTGAATGATAATACGTGATCACAGAAATACTGCCACCGAAATATTTCCACTGTACTAATCTGTTTAAAAGTCACAATTGAATCCCAGAGAACATTCATTGACAATTAATTTATTATTTATCTTTCCTTAGAGAGAAAAATTGACGAATAAATTGAAAAGCATGATAGAGAGAGAGAGAAACCGGTGCACATGTTAGCATTCAATTAGGTCACTTCTATTTGCTCCATTGAAGTCCTGTCATTAAGAGCTTGTTAAAAGTCTATCGCGGTGTGTATTAGCCATTTGCACGTCACTCGGCTTCTACGCACTCCTCAATCTATATTTTTGTCCCTTTTCTTCTCAATCTTCTAGCTCTCTGTTGAGCTCACTAAGATATAGTGAGAATTCCAAACTGGAACACTGAAAATAGCGATAAAAAGATGGGAAAACCGAATACTCGTATCATCCTCTCTGAAACTTTTTGTCAGTACACAGTTGAAAGTTTTAACACGTTGTTCGCTCCCTGGGGTATATAGCTGTTCTCATGCACATGGCATTTATCCAGGGAGGTATGAAGAAAACTTGTCACCATATATTCCTCTAATCCGTCTGTCACAATTTTTTTTATCCTAAAAATAAATGAGAAAATCCACACACTACGAAAATTATTCATAATACTTGTGAGGATTGAGTAGAATTCGATGGGAAAATATAAAACTTTTGAATACTTATATTGAGATGAACGAATGCAGTATTTTTGGGATTTAACGGGGTAACTTTTCTGCAGAATCCGATGGATTTCACTTGAACCATTGGTTAGGTACATTCAAGCTTTTGTCGTCCTCAAGATTTGAAATGGGTCAATGGGAAATAGAGAAATAATAAAGAAATAATGATTCCTGCAACGAGTAATATTCTCCACTGACAACAAATACTAATTTCAATGATAATCGGTTTGGAAATTATTTAAAAACGAGGTAGGCCGGAAATAGACTTTTTCCACGAGAGAAATAAAAAAATAAATAAAAAGATGGAGGAAACGGAAAATCAATAGGCGGATTGAGGTAAATCCGGCATCGAAACCCCTGTTGAAGATTGATAAGCAAGCAGAGGGAGGAAAACGAGAGAAAGCCTTCGATTATTCAAGGCTTTGTGACACATTTCCGTCGAATTTTTTTTAACTGAAAAAAAAAATTACGAAATAATTGAGGCAATATTATTATTCCAAAATTTTCTGAATTGACAACATAAAAAATTATTTCATTGAGCGCAATATATTTAATGAATTAGTATAAATTATCGAGGAAAATTAATAACGTGTGCGTTTGAAAAATATTGACAATTAGATTTAAATTAATTAGTCAGTGATGGGCGATTGCGAGTTGCGAGTGATCAAGGTGTGAGTAGAATAATTCCTTTCGTAAAGGTAACCCTCTGTCTATACAGTAGTAGCTGGATGACGCAAGAGGGATAACAGCAATTTCCCAGTTTAACCGCGAAATTATGCAATTTACGGGCCTTTCGGATGCAGCTTGGGTGCCAGCGCTAACTCATGTTGACAGATAAATCTATTCGTGAATATATTTAATATTTCAAGCTCAACCCGTGCACATACTCCTCCAACATTACTCAAATTTTTTCACAAGCTGCTACGATTCTTCAAATCACATCAATAAAATTATTTATCCCGTCCGCTTGATTTGATAGCTGTCAAGGGTTTCCCATAAATCGATAAACCTTGAAATTGATGAAATAAGGTAGCTGCCAAGTTGATACCAACTGCCTAATTTACCCTTGAATATCATGGAGCCGAGTAACTTATCAGCGAGTTGGAATAGAGCACGAAGTGTCGCGCATCGGGAAACCCCTGTCGTTTGATTTATGAGTTTCATCAAAGCCCCCGACCCTCCTCATACTTTTTAACCACTACCTTTAAAGAGAAAGAAAATTTTTACAATTTTCCATCCATTTCCTGCCCTTTAATACCATCATCACACCCATAAATGTAATTTTATTACCAAAACTGTTTTGTGTGCTCTTTCAACAACTATTACCAACCCCCCCCTTTCCCCCTACTTACCGCAATCAATGTACATACGAGCTCGTTATCACCTGTGTAATAATCCTAATGATGCTGTTATACCTCCATCGAATCGAGCCCGCGTTATTCAATGCCGTAATTAATGCGAGTGAAGCGGTCAAAATCAAACCTCTTTACTCAAATTTTGCCCATTCAATTCGATCAGAGATAGATAATTCAATAATCAAGCAATTAAAATTAATCCCTCATGTAACCAGCAAAGCAAAAACATAATGATGAATGAATGATTAGACTATCTCTGCAAGATAAATATCTCCCACAGAGCCATAATTCCATATTGTTCACAGTTGGTAATCAAATTTTCATAGCGTCATATAGAGTCATACACAGTCCTTTACTCCCTAAATTGTCTTGTCATATCTCGTACTAGCTGATCCTAGCTGTGCAGAAACTTTTAATAGACCAATCAGAAGCAAAGCGATGTTGTACCATGATGGTTTGAAAATTAATTTCCCGTACGAGGAAATCCCAATCATAAAATACCAATTGAAAAGAAGCTCCGGTTAAACACGGCTCCATGAACGGAGCAAACAGGCCAGAAAAAAAAAATAATAGCATACGGTTATAAAAGGGTAGATTTTATAATGAGTATATTAACCACCCCCGTGAATAAAATTACAGCGGATAAACAGGAAAACCGCTGGGACATTCAATTTCATCGACAATATGATTAATCCTATGGGAAACCTATGACTCTGTAGCCCATAACTTTATAGCTGATATTCTGTACGTATACCTTATAAATTGCCAGGGACAAAGGATCATATCCCAAATCATTAACCAATATGATGATAATTAAATTTTCCACGATATGACGCCATCGCGATAGCTCGAGTTATTCGAGAGAATAAAAAATAAAAATACCTAGCTGATGTAAAGAACTGTATATGTATTTTTATATCAACGAAAGAATGAGTTGCTTGGCTGCTCTTCATGATATAACGAGCGCCACTTATAGAGACATTCATTTGACATCCAAGTGGTAAAAGAAATTTTACCCTTACACAGTGCAAATAAATTGCTGAGTATCAGTTGTACCATTATTCACTGTTTACTAAGTGAATTACGCTGTGTAGAATTTTAATTAAATGCCTCTATCTGTTATCAATGGATCTTTATGGAATTGATAGGTGATAGAGTATTTCAGGTGGATAGATGAAAAATTATTCGTGTTATGCATTCGTCCATCCGTGCTCGAGTTTCTGAAGCGAGTTTTAATTAATTGTGGCCTTAATTGATGCGAAGGTTATGAATGACAGACAGATAGAAGGAGAATAGATCAGGGAATTAAATTCTAAAACCACCGAAGCTTATTATCTCTTCATTGTGCCCATTAAAACTTCATCAATGAATTTTTTATCTTTTTTACCTCAGTATTGCTCTCTCGTCAGCTCATCAGTGTTTTCTTTCAAAGATTGTATTGTAGGTCACGTTCTTCCATTTTTTTTTTCTCCATATGCACTCAATCTCGTATTCCAGCTTTTGGAGTTTTACTCTCAACCAAGAGAACACGACTGGAATATCATTGAATCCGAGAAACACAATTACATTTTGTGTCTTATTCACCTCATTTGGAATAATAAATATTTGTGATACAGGGAATACGGAATATTTAATTTTGAAAGGCAGGGGAATTTATTTAGCGATTGACTCGAGGCTGTAGCAATTCCGGGTTGGTGATACTGTCATGGTAAAACCACCGCCGCAGAATCTCTTCTGAGTAGGAGAGAGAGATGGAAGAGAACTGTTGCAGGTGTCTTTAAGGGTGGTTGGCTCTCTCCACTGCACCTCTTTCCTCTTTAATGTGTAGTATTTAATTTTCAAATCGCGCAAGTCCTTCATTGCATTTTCCAACTCGTACTTATACTCATTCGCACGTGTCTCCCACATATTGAGTTCTGCTACTACACACTGGGAAGTCAAATATTTATTATATTATTTATTTAATGCACACGGTGTGTTCGACTGTTCAATTTAAGTCAAATAACTCTAGCTTTCAATTCCCCTTTATTATTTTCTATATATTATCTCATTCATTGCAGTACTCACCTTCATTTTTTTACTCCGCTCTCGCAATGCGTTACGAGCTTTTTCAAAGTTCTCAACGATTTCAGGTTCCGGCTGCTTTGATAGCAGTCCTCGTAAATCGATATACAATTTTTCCGTTTCCTTGATTTTTACATCTTTTTCTATTAATTCAGTGCTCAATTTGAGGATGCGTTTTTGAAGTATCTGAACTTTCTTCAACAGTTCTAACGTACTTGGATCGAAAGCCTTTTAATGACATCCGAAATCAGATTTTTTTGTATGAATAAAAAGAAAAATAAAAAAATAAAAGAGGTAAGTTTCACTTCACCTCTAGTTTTCTCCAGCGGTGGATGTTCAGTGGATTCTGTACTTGCTCTTCTAATGCTACAACCTTTCTCCTTTCTCTCGTTAAATCTCGATCCAGATGAAATATTTCAACCCGAAGATCGCTGATGTTGTTTAAATTCTTGGACAGGATATGTTTTTCTGTTTTCAACTTGGTCACTTCAGACCTCAACAGCTTAATGTCCTCCATTCTCCGCACATACTCAGTCTCACCCCGAGAAATAGTGCCATGGAGAATCTTTTGTTTGCTGTACTGCAAGCTTAATTCGTCATTTCTCCTCACCAGCTGTGTACCCAAAACATTGCGCTCATTCATAACTGCATCGATTTCCTTTCTCAAACGATTTATATCCATATCTGCCATTTTCACACTATTCCTCAGACGTTTTTCCTCTTTAATTCGCTCTTCCATTTCTCTTCTCAGGTCAAACAGATCTTTACGAACAGATTGCAACTCATGCCTCGCTGTTTCCTTTTCCTTTTCCGCTTTACTTAACACTAAATCAAGTAAACCATTTATGTACACACATTATCCACCAAACAAAGACATTCTTTTAAAATGAATACTCACTAAATTCTGCTTTAGCTAAATTAGTTTCTCTAGTCGCCAAATCCTCTTTGAGCTGTTCAATTTGTCCATTCATAAGTTTAATTTTATCCCGTAATTCTGATATCTCATCTTTAGCTATTGTTAAATTTTTACTGTAGGTGTTTCTCTCAGACCTCACAGCCTCAAAGAGATTCTGCTGCTGTCGAAAATGACTCTCCAACTCGTTAAGCTGGCTTTTAGACTCCATGAGCTCCATGTCTTTCAATTTCAGCTGATTCGCATAATGATCTGCCTATCGGTGGACATTAATCAATTATTCACCTGAACAATTTTCCAATTCTTGCCTCAATTTATTCAACAAACTCCACCAAATAATGGATGCGGGTGCAATTGTGAAGTTCTCACAAAAGAATCATGCACCGGATGATGGAAAATTTATCAGTGACGAGTTAAATCGAATTATGAGATAGAATGGAAATTCAAAATTATTGACGATTCAGCATTTTCCCTCTTCTTTGTCCATTACCTACTCTCGTACATTTGTTCTTATTAAATAATAATTGTGCGCATGGGAAGGAAAAATTTGTCGAGTTTTCCTCACACAATAGTATTACCAGTGCAGTTGATTGAATAACGATAAATCTACCTGCTGGGAGAGTTGCTTCATCTCTTGACAAAATTTTTCACGTTCTGTCTCGAGCGATTGAATCCTCCTGTTGGAAACATTGAGTATTTGCATTGCCTCCTCCAATTCCGATTCAATTTTTCGCTTGCTTTGTTCACATACATCTATTACTTGCTGCATTCTCCTCAGGGTCTCTTTCAAGTTACGTAAAACCCTTGCAGTTGCGTCTCTTTCACGTATTACCGCTTCAATTGCTTTCTTTTCATCTGCGAGCTGACGTTTGAGTGAGTCTACCTCAATCTGTGTGTTCTTGAGTGCAAGACGTTGAGTTTGTGCCTCCTTCTCCACTTTCGAGCGTGCAATATCAATTTTCAGGTACTTGTTCGCTGCCCAATTACTCTCTGCTTTACACTTGGCCATTTCCTCTTTCAATCTAATTAATATAATTCACTTGATTCTCGACTCAGCTCTAATAGAACAATAAATTAATAAAAGTCCCCGTATTAATTATTTACCTTTTTATTTCGTGCTCCAATAATTTATACGTTTTAGTCTTCTCATTGATTAACTTTTCCATTTCCTCAATTTTCCGGTGTGCATTGTCGGCTTCAGTTTGTATATTCATCCTGGCGACCATTAGTTTACTTACTTCCTTCCTCAGTTTTTCATTACTATTTTTTTGCTCTTTAAGTGAGTTGTCAAGTTTTCCTACATTGTTTGCCATGGTTTTAATTGTTCCATTTGCTGTCTACATTTTTTTTTTCATTTCAATGAGAAAGAGAATTAAAATTACACTCAGCAAACAACAGGAGTAGTAATTAGTAACTCCGCAATCATTATGCTCCGAAAAATAGTCAACTCACCGTTAATTGTGTATTTTTATCTTTCACCTGCTCTTCGAGAATCACAAGTTCTTTCTCGAGTCTCTCGCGTATAATTCGCTCTTTCGATATTTCATTCATTTGAATATCCATATTCTCCTGCATTTTATTCACCTGCTGATCACAATCAATGGTTTTCTTCTCAAGTTCCTCGGTGTACTTTGACATACTTTTTATTCGTTGTTTCAGTGTCTCCACCTCATTTGTCAGTCTCTCTTTCTCCTTCACAAGGCTCTCTTTCTGCTTGGTGACCGCGCTACTGCAATTTCACTTACTTCATTATTTCAAACGCAATTTTCCTCCGCTGCAAGATCTAATAACACCCTGGTCATGTGAAAGGCTCCTCAGCTACCAGCTCTTCAGGTACGTACACCCCAGAGGCTAAATATTCTATATTCATCTTTTTCCCTATCTCCTTTGTTCTACCTCTGGTATTACCATAAACCCACTTATTTCTATGAAGTTAATTTCCCTAGATCGAATTCAGACTTATAATTATTCTTCGAATCATCCACGCAATATCAATTTACACATTCATCTCACCAAGTTTTCACCAGTCTCTACTAACGAAGTAAGTAAGCAATGAAATTTTGTTTACACCAACTTGAGTAAAATTACTGTAGTTACGTAATTCTAATGAAATTTCCAGCTAAATTTTAATGGTTTAAGATTGAATTCCGGGGAGATATCAACACTTCCGGCTCGCTCATTAATATTTCCGTCTACCGCCCGAATCGTCAGCATAAGTTTTAGACTAATACAAAATTAACGTGACTTTCACAAGATTACGAATTACGAAAGACAACTTACTCTTCGTCAAGCGCTAATTGTTTATTTCTTTGTTCAATTTCTTGATTCAATTTAACGATGGTCAATCGAGAATTTTCAATGATCTCCTGTGCATTCTGTTCACGACTATGAGCCGCATCTGCCAGCTTCGAACTCACCACTATTTCTTCTTTCAATTTAACAACCACCTCAGCCTGCCCCTCAATTGTTCTCTCCAGCTCGTAAATCCTACTTGTTTTTTCTATTACTTCGTCCTGCAAGCGATAAAACCATGAAAAAGAGACACATAACTAATACCACCACCGTTTACCTACTTGCAGCTGGCGAAATTTTTCCATCATTTCCTCTTCGTCTCTCCGACACTTGTACAGCATTTCGAATAGCCGTGTATATTCATCAGCATATTCTTTCAGTACTTCATTAGCTTTCATCTCCTCTGTAATCTATATATGTGTGTTACACGCTTGTAAAATTTCTCTATTTTATTCATCCAATTTTTATTTTTCTCAATTTTCGTTACTCCAACACAAACGGTGGCTATTATTTTCTTTGAAAGACTAAAATTCTGCCGCGTAAAAAATTTAAAAATAAAAGAACGTTGAGATTTATCATAATATAATGAAAGATGATTCCTACTCTAGCATAATCACGTTCGAGCACACAGAAAGCACTACCCGCTGAGCTTCCAGCAGCCGATGGTTCTCCATTATCGCTCCCATCGTCCTGCAAACCAGATTGAATTTCAAAGGAAGAATTTGTGTGGCTTAATCTTACACTTGGTAGTAATACAGTCGGTTCAAGTACTCCATTTTTTCTTTGCTGTTTTCTTTTAATTTTCCCTGCAATTGAAACACGATACGAAAACTTTTCCCGTAACACTAGAAAAATCCATCAGGGAATGACATTCGGTTGATTCTATTACAACTTTTTTTCCAGCGGATGCTTCACTTGCCACATACTCACCCTGTCCTCAGCATTCATTTCCATATCCATCGTGATAAGTTGAAGGAATATACCACAATGGGAATCTTCAATTTAAGCGGTTACCAAAATATTAATCAATATTAATGCAAAACAATTGGTTGACATAATCCAGTCATCTTTATAAATACTCTTCTACACCTGTGCCTCAGGATGACGATGAACTTTCATGTGATGGAACGTGCAATTTTGACAATGGCAATGGCAGATTGTTTACAAGTATCCATGGGAATGGAAAACATCGAGTAAACATCAACCATGCGTCGAACAAATATTTCCCCTTCCTTATAGTAACGAATTAGTGCAATCCGTCTTTTCCAGGTCCACCAAGAACCTGAATTCACTCAGTCTCTACTATCTGTTGAAGATGAAACATTGAATATGAATGACTGCGAGATACATCTAGCAGATGAGTGTATAGCACTTCCAAATAGAGATATCGCGTAGGATTTATGCATTTGAAAACTGCAATTTCGGCAATTCGGCGGCGGCAGTGAAAAGATAGGCTTATGTGCTAGTTGTCTTAAAGGGGATAGCCTTTTAAAAAATCAACAGGACGGAAAGAATCGGTTAACTCTCGGATGTACTACATTTTAAACCTTCAAGAGTAAGTTGAAATAACAAATTTTATTGATATTTACATAATTTATAATTTATAATCATAATCCATGATGGGTAATGGTAAAATTAATGGAAACATATATCCTTTCTTTTCCATTTAATTTTTTCCACATATAATCTCGGCTTTAGCAATTATTTTAATTATTTTACACTCATACCATTTAAGCGATTAAAAAAAATGATACTTCGATTAGAGTTAGTCCTTTAGAGATAAATTTATACATTAAACATATTGGTGTCATTTAACTCTGTACAATAATTGGTATGTACATTTTTCAATTGTATACATATGTATAATGCTCACTGATCTGCGCCACATAATAAATTTATGACTTTGTGCGGAGAGCCACTCCTACGATTAACTACGTCCTCCTTTTTTCATTTATAAATTAATTGACAGTGGGCACTTGTCGAATCATACAATTATTCACGAACCAAACAGTATAAAAATATTATTTTCACGTGCCACTGATTTTACCATAATCTGGAAAAAACTCAGAGAAGGAAAAAAACATGAAAGTGTTCTATTAACAAGTAATCATATGAGCATAGGTAGTGTTTGAGTTTTAGGCACCCAAGAACAAATATTGACATTTTTATACCTTGCCCAAAATTCGTATGTCGCACCAATTGACACGTATTTCAATTAGTAATAACTCATTACCGTGAATCCATATCTCCTACGATAAGGCATTTCGATTACGTAAAAATCATGTTTTCTCATTAAACTGTTTCAAATTTTTGTGATGTCGATGTACATTTTCCTTCGCTTCCAATAACAGCGCATTAAATTTTAATCCTGAAATCGCTAAACGTTGATAATGTGGATATTATATTATCCAAAAAATCCAATCTTTTCACCGGGATTAAGACCCAAAAATACAGCTTCAGATCAATAATAATTATATAAGAGTTTTATTTAATGGATTATTCTTTGAGAACTGGAATAGGAAAAGACTGTAGGTATATGTTCAATGTAATAATTACGTTTTTAAAAATTTATTTTCCTTTTTTTTGTAATAGAACACTTGGTCATTGCTTGATCTTATTCGAACCCGGTGATGTATTTAATTCTGTACAAACGGATAGTTAGAGAATACTAAAATGAAAATATTTTCTATCAATCGGGATGCAATCAACTCAAAAGTCATAAGTTGAATCTGTATTATAAAATTGGTAATTTTCCACTTTCTCTTTTTAAATAATATTTTTCTCATGGGCTAAAATAACAAATTTAATCAGAATAGCTTACTTAACGAAGTTGTAAAAATTCGGTAGTTAATACTCTGACATGTAGTAATCGAACAGTCTTCTTTGTAATTCTTCTTGTTTCTTCATCATTCTGTACAAGTGTCTGCATCAAAATGGGCAAATCCAATGGGATGCCAGTGCGCTTCACAAAATTATATTCCCCCCAGTGTTTTTCATTCCGAATACATCAATTGCATATATATTACATTATAGATTTGGAATTACATGTGTTTTGAAATGGACAGAAGAAACTTTATTGTCTTCTGAATTTGGCACAAACAAATAATTATGATGCGCTTATGATGCATTTTCTTCCAAGATATTTATACACAGGCAATTGTGTGATCCTTCCAATGAAATGGAATTAATTTCTTCATATTTTTCACCCTCTAATCAATAAATTCTCGTTAGCTACATCAATCAGAGCTCTCATAAACAGTAAGTAACTAAGTAAATGGCGAAGAATGCTGTTGAACCATTGATGCTGAATTTTTAGGTGTTATTTTTTTCGTTATTTTTTTTTTCATAAAGCTGACATGACTACATAACATTTGAATAAAGGTATTCAGCATTATTATTATTCACTTTATTTGGAAAAAATATAGAGTCACCGTGGAGTGGGAGAATTTCTAGGCATCTTTCACCCTCTGGCAACGAGGTCAAAGTATTCAGCTAGTTGGTGTTACTTGTGATACAGTGAAGGGTGTCACTTGATAGAGAAAACACCTGTTGCAAACGCGCACCGGCTTGGTATGTCCATATCGAGGTAAGGGAACATTATTACTGCTGCAGCGACCACAAAATACTTTACCACAATTTCTGCAGTGATGTCTACGTCTTACAACGGTGAAGCCAGCTTGGCATGCCATACATCTTGGTGCATCGTTGTCTGGCACCCATGCAGGCGCTCGTTCTACACACTCCTCACCTCTCTCTGTCACTGGACAGCCTGTGCCCATGAAAAAAAATGAACAAACAAAACATAACAGGATATTATTGATATTGCCTCAGGGGATTGAGTGGAAATTCATTTAAACTACTAATATACTTGGTTCATTCGTTGTATTTCCATCGTCGATATCGTCATCTTCATCTTGTAGGGAATCCTGTAGCTCAACATCCGTCCTATTGTCTAAACTTTCAATGGTATTTAATCTCTCAGATTGTGTTGGTTGATTGATAGAATTAACTTCATCGTTATTTTCAATTTGTGTGCTATTCATGAGGAAGACACATTTTAGGATATTTCTCAGGTCTGATGCAAAATTTGTTTGCAACTGATCAGCAACTCCTGCTATACAGACGAATAGCCGATGAACCAAATCTTCCGAAGACCTACGTTTATTATAAAATTTATTAATAGATAATACTTATACAATGAGATAGAACCGATCGAATCGGCGATCCAACGATAATAATCTCACCTGAATTTAGCTCTAATTTGATTTCTATTGGCGATTTCAGCTGCTTGCATTGCAAGTGCGATTTCCTCATCGTCCTGACAGTCACTTTGAAATTCGCTTGTCTCCGAACTGGAATCACAGCAGCTGGAGCAGCTTGAGCTAGATGCAATATCTGTGGGAGGTCTGCATGTGGGTGGAAGTTGAATGGATGAGTTGGTGTGTATTACTGCTGGGGCTGCTACTGTAGCTGTTGGTGTGGCTAGCATTGCTGATGCCCTAGCGACAATAACACCAGAATTAACAAGACCTGGCGAATGAGATTTTTTAATTGTAATTTGCTCTTCCTCTTCAGTCTGAGTTTCTTCGCAGTTGCAGACATTATGAGCACTCCCAGGAGGAGACGTTTCTATAGCTAGACCACTTTTGTCCGTTCTGGGGCCAAGACCGTCATTCGGAAGTACTTGCTGAGGTTCAATAATACTCTGACGTTTTGTATCATTCTCATATCGAGGCTCCTTCTTCCTCATTTTGGCCAGTTGTTCTGATCTCGATCGTCTCTGGTCCAATAATTTTCGATTGTGAGATGATGAATTGAACTGACTTCGGTATCCATAAGTTTGATTATGATAAATTTCCGATGATCTTGGCTCAAAGTGGCATAAGCGAGGACTCCTCTGAGGACTATGACTGCCAAAAGTCGGCATTTGTCTAGTGTTTTGACTGGGGTGAAGACTAGCTCCAAAATGTGACAATCTTGGATTGGATAGACAACGATCGGTTGAATTTGATCGTGAACTCTCAGTACTTGGTGACAAAGGACCACTACCGCGAACACTGCAAGACAAACTCCTCTGCATATCCTCATGAAGTCTTTTTCCTATTTTCCTATCAAATTTCCGTTGACGTTTCTTCAATTTATTCTCTTTAGTCTTTCGAGTGGATATTCTCTCTTGCGCATATTTTTCAATATTATTACCGATTTTATTGATATCTTGAGATGTAGAGGGGCAATTTTTACATTTTAAATCCCTCCAAAACTCCTTTGTCGATCGAGAACTATCAATATTGAGATTGAGATTTTCCCAATTTTCCGAATAATTGACCTGAAAGGTTGATTGATTGGAATCACAAACTGTAATTTGTCCATTTCCATATGCCAAGCCGACAAATTCTTCATTGGTCCCATTGAAATTCGAAGCTATTCTAGGTACATTTTTCGATATTTCACTACAACAGTAATTTTGACTGGATATTTCAACTTGGTTACCTAACGATATGGTTTTCTCACTCGTTACGCACGTACACAAATTGTCAGCAGCATTATTGTCCTTTGATGAAGATGAACTTGAAAATGCAATGGATGTTTCATGTAAATTTTCGTCATCACCATCACCGCCAATAATCTGCTCCTCATTGCCAAACGTTTTCTTCTCCTCCGGGCTCTTATCGTACAAACTTGTATTTTCTGATGATATTACTGTGCAAATACCAGAATCTGTTTGTTCGGATATTTCATTTGGGCATTCACCCTCTAGTAATAAACTTGAGAGAGTTTTATTAGCTTCGGAAATGAGTTTTTTCGAATCCATATCAGGCAGTGAATTGTCAACGTGAATTGTTTCACCGGTCACATTGTTCTCGTGAGATACTTGATTCAGTAGATACTGGGTCTGAGGAATTTCAATGTTACCAGTTGCTCCAAGAATTTGGGAAATGTCAGGACTTAGAAATCCTTCTACATTGCCAGTTGGTGGGCTCTCACTTGTTACAAATTCATTACTTTGTGAATTATCCGAGTGTCCTGGACCAACGAAATATTGGTTAGACGCTGAATCTCCATTCCTCAATTGATTAGCCATTATTTCTACCTCGGTAGTATCAACACCATTTAACTCTTGGACACTAGTCGCTTCTTTAGGAATAATTTCTCTAGCATGAGCATGAGCATGGGCATGGGCATGGGCATGGGCGTGAGCATGGACATGGGCATGGACATGAGCACAACTATTGGAATGTTCTGCTTTCTGTACTTTGTGTTTCCTATCTTTTCTCTTTTCCCTGTCTGGCTTGTCAATCAATCTTCTCTCAATAAGATACTCTATTCTGGCATTCTCTTGCTCCAAAATTTCAACCGCTTCATTTGCCACTTCATCCATATTAGAGCCTGTATTCTTTGTAACTGTGTAAAAACCTACAATAAAATCTTTACAGTTTGGATAATCTGTGTAGAAATTGTGAACAAATTCCTCAAGGTCTTGTTGGCAAACATTTTTCGTTGACTGAGACATTGGGGCTGATGGTTCTTCATTTGAACACAGAAGTTTTTCCAGCATGTAGAGCTCTCGATTGTTCAGAGTCCAGAGGAGTTCCCGTATTTTTAATAATAAATTTCTAAATGGTCTAAACATTTCGCTTATTGTATCAGGAAAACTGAGACACAGCGGGCCACCAGGTGGTGCGAGTAAACCCGCCACAATAGCCAGTCTTGGAATGGTAAACATGAGGGCTGGTTCGTAATTATCAATATCGGCTTGGTTTAATAAACCGCGTTCAAGTGCTCTTTGGAGTGTCTCAGAGAATAGAACGCAAACAAGTTCTTGCTGTTCGTACTCCTTGGTTGACTTAACAGGCACCATTGCCGCAACATAACACAGCTCAAAGTCAGCAAACAGTCGATCAAAAATCTTGAGTGATTCAATGAGCTTCTCTAAAAATGGCTCCAAAGGATTCTGCGCCTGAAACAATTCCTATCGTGATAAATTATTAAGGAAATCGGTTAAATTCAACGTTCATCAATCAATCTGTTAATATTTCCAACTCCAAATAATGAATTACCTTTAAGTTCATGTGGCCCTTGAGTGCATGTTCCCTAAGTAAGTTGCGTACGATTTCCAGAGACTTTGTGAGAGCTTTGGCAAGGGGTCTCATCGCAGAACTCTCAACTTCTCGATTCATTATCGATGAGCCCGCCGCCAGACACTCCGCACCAAACCACAATTGCCCAGCAAGATTCTCCTGCATAACGTCGTCTGGAAATTTCACCCTGAAGTCTCGATTTGCACGACTTTCAGGTATCAACTCGTCCATTATCTGATTGCATATCGTCAAAACTTTGTCCTGGCAGTGACGCAGTTGATTAACAAGTGTTGTACATCGTTCTGGCTCTTGTCTCCCATCGAATGAGTCCAATTCACAGGCAACAGCTGTTAGAGCCTCGTTGGCATAGAAGAACTGAGCCAGAAGACTGGTATCATCTCTCTAAAAATCCAAAAAATTGTTCATTACTTTTAATAAAATAAGTCTCGGCCTAAACACCATCAATATTTCATAATGACTATCAATTGCTTTGGTCATCAAATTCATTGAACAACTGCTCGTTAGACAGTGAAGCTAATTGTAATGATAATTATAGCTAAGGCGTACAATTAGAACGTATGGTATTATTCAATTCAATGCTCGATGCATCGGCTTTTCGTCCTGATGATAATTTTATAGTGATGTCATTACGTTACTCATTCTGGATCTGTGTATTTTATCTTTATTTCTTGAAAATTCTTTGATATATAAAGAAACTGCCTTGAAGTATGTATTATATACCGTTATCATTCGACAAATTATCTCTTGAAAACATGGAATTCATTCTTTTGCACGAATACCGTCCTAATTAAGACCCGACGTAATTCGCATTGATTAATAGATAGCCGTCTTTTCACGGTAATAAGCCCATTTTTTAAGCGTTATTATAGCAACAATAACTTTCTACTTGTTTCTAATATTTCATTGTCCGCAATATTCAACGTATCAATTTATTCAGTGGAGTTAACGCAATTGCTTACACACATGACAATTTCTCAACAGATATACTTCTTCATTATCTTTAATTCCACTCACTGATAAAGAACTTCAAGGCTTTTTTTGTAATCAAAACTGATGATCGGTCTAACTACATCGTCTCACTAGTTAGAAATACCTAATATGATACATAAATTATAATATAATGTAATAGTATTGGCAGTCATAAGCTTTTTTATTTTGCATATTTCGCATTTTGCAATTTAAGGAAGCGGAATGCCACTTATTCATGGAATTAATAAATATAGATGAATAAAAGAAGTTATGGGTTAAATATAAACTAAAGTGGAGAAGCTGAGGGCAGGTCGAGGCCACTAGTTTGTCTGGTGATTGCACGCACTTTTACTTTTTGTCCGTCACGTAGAGGTGCTGGGTGGTGCTGGGGACGGCTGTGGCTTTCCCCGGAGAAGCCACCGAGTCCTTATGTTTATCACTTTGGTAAATACCATTGGAAAGTGTCTAGTAAACTCGACAGAAAATAAGAAAAAGCTGCTATGAAAATTGTATTGATTTTAGTGGTAAATTCACGTGACTGCCCCTCAAGAAAGAGAACCACCTTGATGAGGAAAATTCTTCTGTTCTCTCTGCTACTATCCGGAATAGCAATGAGTGCACAACGCACTCCACGTATTCGGACCAATCATTTACAATCAGAAGAAAGTCATTAATTATTTTCCTCCGTCTTTTATACGAAGATATTCTGTTTAAAGATTACACTACATATATATTCAGGATCATCTGTGCGCCACGCACAATGGATTCAGCTTGCGCACGTGAATTTAAATAGTCTCCTAGCAATTTACCAAAAAACCAATAATCAATTCATTGAATATTCAGTACATCCGAACATATTATAAAATAGTATACACCGTATACAGTTTGTGTCTCATTGTTCGCTGATTGTTGTATTATGTTAGATGGAGTGAGAAAATAACTGATTAAAAAAAATGAAAGCAACATCTTTTCAGCAGCCAACCAGATTACCAGCTGTCTCCTCTGTAGTGACAGCCACTGACAGATAATCAGTATTTATGAAATATTGGTATCCTTCAATTTATCATTACAAGAATAAGACTTTCACGTTGAAATAAAATTTTCCTCGTTCCGAACAGGTGGCCAGAGCGCAGACTCATGTGTCATTTGGCTTTGTTCAGGTTTGGCAGATGAACAAGTGTACAAAAAAAAAATCAAATTACCACCTAATTTTCCATAAGATTAAAAATGAGTGTGAGACATCACGAGATCACTCATTACAAAATCGAAATGTGAACAAATCCGAGAGAATAGGAGAGAGAGAGGGGGAGAGGGGGGGAAAGACAGAGAAAAAATGAGTGATTGTTTTGCAGAAGGGATAACATTGATGGCGGCGATTGAGTAGCTTTATAAATTCTTCTAGTTATCGATGAAGAATAGGAGGAAAGGGAAGATTGAGTTCTCACCTTAGGCCTGTAGAACCATTTTCTGATCGACTCCATCGTATACAGCACAGACCGTCCCGATTGATGTCGAGTTTCCGCACGGATCACTGCGCCTTTCGCGCACCTCGCACTTGCGTCATAATCATGTCCGACATTGCAGTTCACACAATATCTTCCACATATATGTATCAATCATTCGTCAACTTGCATAAACACTTTTGATGTTGTTCGATAGTTCGACTATCAAATAGACACACTTTTCAACTCGCTAATCGTCGTATTTACACTAACACTGTTTTAGGATCACGCAACACACGCAACCATGCTACGACATAAAGTACAAGTACTGCATGTTTGGCCAGACGGTGAGAACTGAGTCTGAGAGTACCAGCAAGGGGATTTGTATGTGTGGTAGTGGGATACAACTCCATTCGAGGAGCGCCTGCGTCCTTCGGGTCGTCGCGTTAAACTGTCATGACTGTCACCAAAGAGGATTGGATAAAGTAGAGGGTGAGATCTGGGGGTTTGACTTACCGCAGTGGAATCGTAGTACTGCAACCCAAAAGGGGGAGGGCGCCACAGGTAATGGGGGTGTCTATCCGTCAGCTGACTCGGTAACTACCTCATCAGCAGTCCCACTGTCAGCGGGACCAGTCGGTATTCACTGAGATTAAAAAAAAAAAAATTTTAATGACTCCCAAAAATTGAAAAAAAAATTTTTTTTTTAATTAAAAAAAAAATAAATAAATAATTAAATTTTTTAATTTCAGTGAATACCGACTCGTCCCTCTGACAGCGGGACCAGTCGCTATTCACTGAGATTAAAAAAAAAAAATTTAAGTGACTCCCAAAAATTGAAAAAAAAAATTAAATTTTTTTTTAATTAAAAAAAATAAATAAATAAATAATTAAATTTTTTAATTTCAGTGAATACCGACTGGTCCCTCTGACAGCGGGACCAGTCGGTATTCACTGAAATGAAAAGAGAAAAAATTTAAGTGACTCATAAAAATTTTTTTATTTCAGTGAATACCGAAGTGGTCCCTCTGACAGCAGGACTGCTACTGAGGTAGTTACCGAGTCGGCTGACGGGAAGACCCCATCCCCTCCCCGCCAAACCACCACCACCCCCCGCCAAACCACCACCACCCCCCGCCAAACCAACCCCAACCCCTACCCTTAACCCCCTCCATTGTATGTGGTACCCTCTCTCCCTTGGGGTGGGGTGCTACGATGCCGGTGGGGTCACTCAAACCCCCAGACCTGAGCCTCTACTTTAGTCATCCTCTTCGGTTCTGTCAGCCCCCAGGTAAGGCCCAATTATGTTAGTACCAACCTCAGCTCACGGATGGCATCATCATCGATATTTTTTTTATCGACAGTGATATAAACAAATTGCAGAAAATAATTAATAATAATTAATACTTGTCGTAATCGTCCCGATCCCCAAAGTACCCCCAATATACTTCGATTCTCCGATTGCCCTAATATTTTTTTTCAAATTTTGTCTTTCAAATTCACAAGCAGCCGACGCGCCATCGCGGCGTCTTGGCGGTTTAATTTCAAACATTTTGAATGAATGCGCCAACAATTTCGTTCGAATAAAATTGCATTGCTTCTCCAATTCTTTCACTCTACGATTAATTGATATTTGAATGCCGATGGGGATGTAAATGCTACGGAATAAAACTGCGAATGGCCATTTTATTCCGGCAATTGTGGATATGCAGATGAGACGAGATAGTGCATGATCTTTTTCACTTACTATAATTATTTTTCAATGCAAAACAAAATTTATTCAATTGAAATTTGTGCTTATCTTGACTATCACGGTGAGAATAGTCTTGATAATAATTAGAGGTTCTTCATTGAGTCTGAGGAATTAAATTGGTTGGCTCGTTCGTATGCATTGTTCTTGTTTCGTGATTCGTGATAGGATAATAACAATAATCCTGATAGTACGTAGAATGGAAGAAAGACGCAGGGGCTGTTTATCAGGAAATACAAGGGGGGATTCGCGTGGGGGGATGCGTCTTATAAAGGCGCGAGCAAACATCCCCGACTACATTCCACCTTCAGAATTCAAACTCGCCACAGGTCCACCTCTACTTCAACCATTAAATTTAATTAACATTCTATAAAAGCTGACAACCAAAGTGACAACTGTTCCCATTTTTTTTTCCATTTTATTATTCACAACGAGTCGTCCAATTCTAATTATCCAATCCAATCAGGCAACCATCAATATTCCCACTCTTACGAAGGTAAGATTCAATCTATTTTTATCATTAATTAATTAATCATTAAATATTATTTTTATTTCTTTCACATTTTCTTTAGTGTGTCTGCTGCAAGTTTTCATGTGAATGCTTTAATTGATTTTTCTCTTTAATTGATGTATTTGATCTCTAACTTTTGAAATGAGTAATTTATCACTCCTACGAATGTCAGTGGGATGACATATCGAGTTAGTATTTCCTATCCGTATATTTATTTGAAACTGTCCGATGCCGTAGTCCGATGTATCATACTGTGTCATTTTTGAAAACTAAAAAAGGATTCAATAAATACGAAAAATACAATCACGTATTCATAATTTTTTTTAATAATAATCCATACATATTTAATATTAATGCATTCACATTTATATTGACTTTTTTTCTCACATTTGTTTGAGACATCAACAGTTATCTGTATTGCCTACTGGAGAATATAACTCACACTCCCACTAATATTCTCTTAAGAAAAAGAAAAACTTCATCGCCCATCGAATAATTAACCAACTTTAATAAATGCAATTTGCTATTCACATTTAGTATGCAATTTCAATTAAAAACTTTTGAATTAATCATTCCCGTTAAAATCGATTATCGGTACAGACTACTACTCAATAACAATGCGCCTTAAACTCTCCGAAAGATGGCGTCGTCGGATAATTTTCTCGGTTTATAAACTTTTATGAATTAACAAAAATTAAAACTTTATCAATTAATTTCAATTTTTAATTTCTGTTTCATTTTTCATCGGGTTAATTGCGATTTTTTATTATTCCCACATTTTCAAGACAATTAAAATATTTTTGGAAAATGACTGAATCTCTTTTTTTTCCCTCGTTAATATTCAACTTGAAGGGATAATCGTAAACGTAACTCTAATATTGAGGAGATCAATATACCAAGCGATACTCTAGCTGACGGGTGAAGTGAAAATAGCAATGAGGAACCATGGAAAAACCACAGGATGATGGTTTATGGTGGCAGTCGATGAGCCATCAAGGTTCCTATAAAATCCGCATTTCGCACTTGAGACTATAATAAAAATACATAATACTGAATATTTACTGGTATTGAGATTGAGAATAGGCTGCGTTAAAAAAGTCTCCGTGATGTATTCCACAGAACAGTCATTTAATGTAGAATAAAAATGAGATTGAAAAAAAATAAATTCCATCCCTATCAGATATTCCAAGCCCTCCATTTAGAAATCAATAATTTATCAAATTTTTCAGCTATTCTCGTTATCTTTCATTCTCCAAACTCAATCCGTAGCAATGGCTCTCCAAATTAATAAAAAGCATATAACTTTATTCTACTTGCATCAATATATTCCGTAATAAATTCAATGACAATCGGTAATCACACACGGATAGAAATATTTAGTAAAAATTACGGAACTTTCAGTTCACTTACCGATTACGGAGTTGATTCGAAAAATTTAAGTGACGGTATCGTTATTTTTCACCGATAATTCAGATAAAAATTACGGAACACCGCGGAAAAATTCTGTGACTTTAGATCAAAATTACGTGACAGTTCCGTAAAATTACCGACAACTACATTTCGCTCCAGAATTACGGAAAATACACGTAATTTTAATTGGGTGACAGTTCCCAAAAATTTCCGACAACCACATTTCGCTCCAGAATTACGTAAAATACACGTAATTTTTATTGAATATTTCTCTCAGTGCACTGAGAAAAAAAATTATTTTCGCCAAGAATATTTTCTTGCTACCAGTAAATCTAGCGATCACTGAATACACCCATAAGACTTACTAATGCCCAATATATTTTCTTGTGATTAATAAATATTCTTGACTAAAGAAATTTTTTTTCTCAGTAGAGGATTAGTACAGTCTACACTCGATCATTATTTTCTGGTATTTAATTTTTAAAGACAAAAATATTTGGGAATTTATTTCAGTGGAGTATTGGTGCATCAAGCTTTGGATGTTTTATCCGACGCTCTAGAGCATTTGAATGGAGAACGCCCAGGTTTAATACGCCCTTGTATAAGCAAACACAGGCACTGGGTCCTGTCTCTTATCCACAGGACACTTAGTAGCACTTACTCTTATCTTAATGACCAGGGACGCGCGTAGCGTTAATGGCCTCTTAAAATTAGCGCGAAGAGCAAGCACCCTTCCAAAAATTTTCACCATTTCGTCCAACATTTTTGAAATTTCCAAAAAAAAAAATAAATAAAAATATATCAGCAGCCATTTTGGATGAGTTATTAATTCCTAGATGATTGATGTAACAAGTCAGTGATAAAGGGCATCCTCTAGCATTGACATGCACTCCTTAGTCCCTTAATCATCAATATGAATAATTATTTTAATGTTTAATTAATTTATTTGACAGATGACACGTGCATTGATTATATTGATGATTCTCGTTGGGACAATTAGTGTAATCACTGGTCAGACATTCCAATACAGTCGTGGATGGACGACTGGAAAGCGTGCCGATTCTGGAGTCCTTGGGGTTGGTGGTGATTTGCCGTCGGATTTAAAAATGAATTTTCCAACTCAAGGTATCATTCGGCGGACAAACGATCCAGAAAATATTCATTGCGGTCTTCGCAAACTGAAGATGCTTTTACGTGGTAGCACTAATAATCAGGCAAATACCATTTTTTATTCAACTTATATTTATTTTATTATTCTATTAACAATCCGTTAAATTTCAGCTGTATCATCTCCCCTGCGATCTTCTGAATATTCTCCACAGAGAAGTAGAAGCTGGTAGTGAACGAGTTGGACACCATAAGAACTCACACCACTTGGATCTTTATGATAACGATAACGATAATGTTAATGATAATGATAATTACCTCAACAACAAATGAATAACTTTGGGAGGGAATAATTTGATTAAACGCAAGTCTATTTTATTTGTATGAAATAAATTAATTTGAGGGAATAAAGTGTTATTGAGGTGAGGAATAATGGAATAGTGATACGAAATGAAAAGTAGTATATCAAATAAAAATGACAGGAATGAGGAGGACAGGCTTGAAATAAACAGAAAAATTAATTAGAGCTTAAATTTGGTGATTGTAATTACAACTGAGTAACTTTACCCTGACGACAGTAATTGGGAGGACTCTAACCAGTTAGATATTCTAAAGCTTTTCACGAGTAATTTGCCATGCGCATAAAACGGTGCATCTTCACTTGTGAATAGTCGAGGTGCATCATAGCTGCAACGAGGTAAAATTTCGTGGATGAGAGTTCACTCAGTCTTGATCGATTCTATCCACCGACTGTTAATTAAGTTTTCGTCGACCTAATTGGACATTCTGAGGAGTGTAAAGAGAGAGGGAATGATGGATAAAAGAGAGCCATAGATGGATCGACGGTTGGTCGGCTCCTGAACGGGTGGGATTTTCTCTGTCAACGGCAAGATGGAGTGAAACCCTGCTGAAGAGAGACAACTGGTGAGTCGACGGATTATCCTGCTCTCGATCCCGCTTCTCCACGACGGCGCACAAACTCCACCCTCTCCGACAATTTCATTTTATCCCCCATCCAACAACTAAATTATTTTTCCTCACAATCACTATTCACTATTCGCTTAATTATAAACTCCCTGGATTATATTTATCCTCACAATTCGACTAGTCCAATGAACTTCTATATCGATCATTCACGCCATACCCTATCTTTAAATATAGAAAATCCTTTAATTAAACATTTTGATAATAATCCACTGCTTATCATCGGTTAGATTATTTTTTATAACACACTTGGAACTTGTCCGCTAATCAGAAAACAATTACCAAAGGCACACTTGGGGACGAAGTTAATCGCATTAAATATTGAAACATCACTGCTGAAACTAGTGTGTGTTTGGTGTGTACAGTAGCAACGCAAACCGTTTTGCCATTCTCCTCCCCCCGACTCTTTTATTTCCCCCAGGAGTAAATACATGCTGTCTATTGATGATCAACATAAAAAGGGACATTGTGATCCAGAATCGTTAGATCCAATGGATTATCGCTTGGTTTCGTGTTACCATCCATGAAATACGACACTTGTCTCTCATTATCATTTCATCCCCCGAGGAATATTATAAATAATAAACAATTTAATAATTTGATATTTCAATGAAATTAAATCTTAGATTTACTCTGACAGGGAAATCGACATGTCTCTCTGATTTTCTTAGACCACAACTCCTTGGATCCCATTCACACAACGAGGGGTGGGGGTAAAACAATTTCCTGCCCTGCGTCCATGAAAGATTAAAATCACGATTCAAAATCCCATCATTTTCTGAATACATATGTATACATATATATATATATTCAGGGTACTATGGGGTAAATTAACGAGAGCCCTCATTGCGAAAAAGCTCGAGTTGATATCCATTCCTTTTTTTATTTTCAGTGCTCCTTCAATTTCGACTCGATGATGGACGGTAATTGATATATATTACTTGCTATCTGTTAAATCAGAATGGAAATAATACAATTGGGGATAAATAAGGCGTAGGACGTACCGAGAATGAAAAATTTGAGGGAAGTTACTGAACTTTTTTACATACGAAAAGGAAATAAAGTGAGAAACACCAATCATATTTCAGTAATTTTTTTTTCGTATAAATACATAAATCGGGCAATCATCCTAAATGGTCCTGGTGACTTCTCGTCGTTGTTTTATTTTTTGCTTTAATACCTCTTTCCTTTATCCGCGCCTGTCGACTATCATTTGTGTTGTATGCTTGACTCGACACCAAGAGGAAATGCATCTGTTTCATGCTGTTTTTTTTTTCAGTATATATGTTTTCAGTATATAAATGTCAAAAAAATATTGAATTCTTCATAAAGACTATACCCCTATCATATAGGGGTACACCACAAAAAAAAATTATTGAATTAATGAAATTTATAATAAAATTTATTCCTTTATGGATTATTTATTTACGGAAATGATAAACGCGCGATTGTAAATCACAATTAAATTTCAAATTCAAATATCTAATTATGAATATAATAAATATTTTTAAAGTGATAATAAAAAAATAAAAATGTATACACATTTTTTTTAATTAAAAAATAATTTAAAAATGAAATAAAAAAATATTATTATATATATATAATGTAAAGAGCCTAATCGGCTATATATGGATAAATGAATTTAAATAATTATTATATATATATATATGTATTAATATTTTTTAAAAATATTTTTACATTTAAAATTAAAAAAAATGAAATAAAAAAATAATTAAGAATTTTCTAAAGCTAAGATGCGCGGCGAAAAATGTTTTTCGGTACACCTGGATTTTTTGAGAAGAGAAAATTACCCGTTCCATGGGCAGAGCTATGAGGATACATATCTTGATAGTAAAGTATTGACAGGAGAGTTTCAACAGTCGATAATGCATTCTCATCGTTGTCACGAGGATTAACCCTGTCGTGAATCGAGTAAGTATCGAGCAGTATTTCCACGGGGAATTCTAGGATTACGATGGACGAGTAACAATCAGAGAGATCGGGTTTAGTAAATCCATCGGCGTTCCCACGCCGAAATTAGAGTACCAAGTAAATGCCAGAGTGCGTGAACATTCATCAATTCTTTCATAAATCCATTTGTTGTTTTATTTAATCTCTTTTGTTTTTCATTATTTTTTTTGTGGATGTTTTTAGGGTTTTGAGAACTGTGAGAGCCGAAAATAACCGACAAATGACATCGATTCTATTCCAACACTAGGGAGTTGGTGCGGCTGACCACAGAACGATCGGAAATACAGAAAAGACAGGGCTCGAGTTCACGAGAAACATTTCTCTCTCATCTTTACGAGCAGGAAATAGACGTGCAACCTCAACTCGAAAACACCGATCGGCCACTTATTTCATTGTCAGAAAAGTCATTTCACAAAATAACGCCGTCTGCCTCTGATGCTTGAGTGTCCCTAATGGTACGAGAAAATTGATTTGTTTTATTATTTAGCCTTTAATTTTCATATAATCGATAACAGGTTTTAATGGTGGTAGAGGCGACTGGTAGATGTACCTCAAATGAGGTGAAACATGATTGCAGGGGGTCATGTATTGGGGTGTTTGTTGCGGCATTTGTCCAAATCAAACGAGTGGATGGGGGTAGGAGGAGGTATGAGAGTGAAAACATAATTGTCGGGGCATTCGTTGCCAGACCAGACTGGAGCTAATATTGGATTAGTTTTTAATTGGAAGGGGGGCCATCTCGAGCACGAGTGGCATCACTACCACCACCAGAAACAGCACCACCACCACCACCACCACCAGCAACAACAGCAACAGCAGCAACAACAGCATCAGCAGCACCAGCAACAGCAAGCATTGGCCTTTTGGGTCATTGAATGCAGCCAAAAGGAGGTGGGCAAGTGTATGTGTGGTCTCTGCGCAAACGCTCGAGAGGGTTGGGGTGGATGGGGCGCGATATGCCACTGATGTATGATTGAGGATTAATTCCACCAAGGGGCGTGTGCATTCTCTCTCCTTTGGGATACGTTTCTACGCTCTCCATCGAGCTGATCATATCACTCCCCATCCCAGTTATACGTATTTCATCAATTAACGGTTATCATATGTCAGAGAATATATGGAATTTGATTGAATTGCTAGCTTTAAAATAGTTGCACGTTTTAAATGAGAATTACAAGAAATCCGTACCTCATTTTCATGCTTTAGCCATCACCTAACAAAATTCCAATTATATGTATGTGTATTTATATATGTATTAGGGTGAAATTGAGTTTGAAGAAGCGGTCTGGAACATTTGTCTCCAAATAATTGACCCGGACTTGGGAGTAGTGGCTTCTCTGCAATTATAGGTAGTAAACGCGGCCACATCCGGCACACAAGTGAAACACACTCTTCTAGGATACGAGAGGTTCATAAATTTTTAACCTGCGAGATAAAGACGCCCATCGTTACGGGGAAATAAAACAATTATGTGAATCGAAAAAAAGAGCGACCGGATGTTGTTATATGATTTGAGGGATGATGCACACGGTAATGTAGGATGCCACCTTCAATTTCGACACCCACTAAAAAAATTATTGACAAGTGTTGAAAGAAATATAAACAATAATAAATGAAATAAGGATAAAATTTTGAACAAGTAGAAAAAATAATTTCTCCTCTAGTGATGTCCGTAATTAGTCTTTATATTTTCTTGAATATTTATATATATACAACATTACACGTACATAACATCACATAGCTCGTTATACATCATATTCAAATACGTCTACCAATTAATAATAATTTTTTAAATACATGTCACCTATTGTATGTTTTCTCTCGGAATTCTTACACCGACATTGAGTTATAACCACTCGTAATATTATAACCGCGATATTATATAGATATCCTATACTCTACAATATTAAGAATAATCTGGCTTCAATAATTCAAGTGGTATATACATGGCATACCTTCTGACTTGCCGCCCGCACTAGATCACTCTCTATATCTTACAAATAATTTGTTCAAGTGTAGGGTATTATTTACATAAATGAGATATGTTTTTCTGTTCTTTTTCTATTCGATCTATCGATTTATAGAAAATACCATTTATCTTTAGCAAATGGGCTCGGTAAGGGGTTGAGGTGGGCCGTAGGGTGAGGCCCACTGGTTGACTGTGTGTCCAAGAGGTGGTGCAGAGGATTGCCCGTCTAGGTTTGCAACAGATGCTCCTCCAGGATGATTACTCACCCCTCCTGGATAGCCAACTTTTCCCAGAGCTTCTGCTTGCAGTGATAACATCAAACGATTCGCCGCTTGTCTCTCAGCTTCTCTTTCCTCAGCTGTTTGTCGTCTAAAATTATTAATCATTCAGTGAGAATATTTTTATTATCGTTCATTTTTTAATATCTCCAAATACCTTTGGACTAAATTTATCATCTTTTTATTAAATTTATTTGCATCAGTATTGAAAGGGATATTTAAACCGTAACAATGTCCATTGAAAAATTTAATAGCCCGATATTTCGATGAATGTCTGTGGTGATTAAATCGAAAAATTTATTCGTCTGAGGCGCCAGTCTGACCTCGAACCGCAATCAGGTATCCAGTTGGACATTCTCGCTCCATTAGGGCTTAATCTCTGCTACCGGTAATTAAATGGTTTTGATGTATATAAACCGGGGAAATCGTCTATAGGTTTCTCTGTCTTTTATTTCTACTATTCTGTCTTCTATTTACATAATCATTTTTAAAAAAATCAAATCGCTGAATTCGAACTCGCGAACAAATACCGAAATGCTGGAACACTCAATAGGGGAAAAAACGATAGGGAGAAACGAAAGAAATGATGAAACAGTCGTACGTTATAGGAAAAAATTTCGTTTCCGTCCCCGTTTTTGTCCAACTCCTATTTGTGAATGCTTCGAACTAATTTTGAGGTTTTCCAAGACCAATCATTAGCGCAAACTGGTTCTCCGAGTTGAGTGTGGATGAACAGAGAGAGGTCTTTTGACTTCTCTCATCGGAGCTAGTTCACATATACATATATATATATAATGCGACGCACACACATGAATCGCTCCACCCATGAAACAGCTTCCTGTAATTTTACTTAGCTCTTTTCGGCGCTTTTTCCTTTTATTTTATTCCCGTTTTATTTTTTCTTCATCATGATTGCGTGCTCATATTTTTTGTCGTTTCAGGTATAAAACCATCATTGGGTATTAGTTGAAATCGAACAGTACACGTGGGAATGAATTCCCAGAAAATTAGAAATTTCGTTAGTAGTTTTTGTTACGTTGTACGAAATATAATTGGATGTTCGGCCATTGTGAAATTAAATTTCAAAACACGTGCTTTATCCTCGACTGCTCGGTGTGACATTATATACAGGCTTCCCCCCGTCTGTCCCCCTCACACGGTCGTGTAATTAATGCGGTTAGCAATTAATAATTGAATACCCTGTGCCGATTACATTTCACAGCCCCCGATGGTGCGACCACTCTAATATACCATGCCCAAACGAGGGGACAATTCACTCATCTCCACCATACACCCATCATCCACCATAATCTTTATCCAACAGCGTTCACTTGAATTTCAAAGAGAAAAAAAGAGAAATTGTTTAAAATTTCACCGTGTGACTTTGAGTAAACAAATTGATCGACAGAGACTAGAGGGATAAAAGCTCTTTTTCAAGAATCCAATCCATCCCCAACAAACACGGCAAAATCGTGTAGGTAGGCGTGTAAGTAACATACACATTCAAACAGGGGGATAGGGGTATGAATGAATGTTTAAAGAGGCAGAGTGGGGTGTGTAAGCGAGACGAGAAAATGGTATTCCGACACGAGGAGATCGAAGCGATTCAAACGTTGGATTTCGAATGTTTGACAGTTTAAAAGCCAAGGAAAAGCCAAGCCGCGGAAGTCAAATGGAGTTATAGTGAGGAAAGGGGAGGATGGGGTGAGAGGGTGGTTTTGGAGCGACCGAGGGAGCTTGGGGGGTGCTAGCCCGACTACATAATGTACGGGACAGGGCTAAGCTGTTAGGTATCTGAATTATTGAGAACCGAGTTATCTCGTTCGTGCCTACGGTCATCTCGTTATTTTACATGGCACTCGCTGCTCTCTTGTCGCACGAGACGTGTCTCCAATGATTATCGACATTTTCTTTTTTCTTCACCCCTCTCCTTCACCCCCCTCCACCATCCACCCCTATTTTCTCTATTTTTTCTATTTTTATTTTTAAATCTAGCGATAGCGACACTATTAAATGACTAAACGACTAAATGACTAAATGACACTTGTAAAAAATAACTGAAATTCCTTGAAAATTGTGTGACAATATCGATGAATGGATCGTGCAAGTATTTAACCTCCAGGCCCATCTGATGGTTATCTCCTGTGATGTACAGTGCACGATTAAATGGCGGGTAATTTGGTATGAATGCGCTTGTCATTGTACTCTATAATTGCATTGGGAAAAACAGTGGTGTATTTTTAAGTGATACATGCTGGGTGTCACAGTACGGCATGACAAACTGAGAAAAAAATTTTCTTTCATTTCTTAAATATTCTCGACATTTACTAACCACAAGATATATAATTATATAAATATATTTGGCATTAGTAAGTCTTATGGGAGTATTTACACAGTGATCCCCAGATTTACTAGTAGGAAGAAAATATTCTTGGCAAAAATAATTTTTTTTCTCAGTGCACGTCCTGAATAGTAGTTTCCATTGTACAAAAAATGGAGTTAGAAAATATGAAAATTTCCGAGTGACCTTGAGAGCCAGGGGTGGTTCATACATATGCATATATATATATATATATATTTTTTTTTTGGTCATTCTTTTTGTCATATAGTGATATCGCCCTGAGAATGCTGAGCGTCTCGCCGTACGGCGCGCCTGTCATCCTCTTCCACTTGAAGAAACCCGCGTGGGTTATTCTTTTATCTAAATGACGTGTTTTCGGACTGTCCTTATCTTGAAGAGGGAGCCCCCTTTTAATACGTGACGCCTGGACCCTCAAAATTTAAACGTCGAATATCCAAACTTACTATTAAAATACCAAGGACAAGTTATACAGGCTTGGTAAATACCTTGGATGAATGAAAAATACATGAGTTATTAAAAATTATGAGGTTTATGAGATTGAATGATGATAAAGTGACATACCTCCACTTGGTCCGCCTGTTCTGAAACCACGTCTTCACCTGGGCGTCTGTCATCTTGAGAGACTTGGCAAGAGCTGCCCTCTCCGCCGACGCCAAATATTTTTGTTTATGAAATCGTTTCTCCAATTCAGCAATCTGCAATCTTGTGAAGCTCGTTCTCGGTTTCTTTCTCTTGGGTGGAGTTCTATTCTGATAAGGATGTCCAATTCTTCTAGGAAAAGCTCCAGCCACTGTAATTCAAGAATAAATTGTCTCCATAAATATCGATAGTATGTGAATCCCTTTTAAAAAAAAGCATGTAACGTTTTTTGTCAGCTTTTTTTGGCGCTATGCATATCAAAATATATCAATATAATATGATATATATATATAGTTATAATATATATATATAAATAATATATATAATATATAATAGAGATAATATATATATATATATATATAAATTATATTAATTTTATACAAATTAATTTTTTTTATATAAATTTTTAGACTTTTTTCTTTCTTATTTTTGAAATTCTATATATCTATATATTATATTGGAAATAACCGTGAATATATATATATATTCCAATGATAACACCTCATACGTGGACGATTTGGCGCGCATAGCGCGCCATATACGCTAGTTTTTTATAAAAATAAGAGATGAGGTATATTTTTGGAGAAAATTGAATTTGACGGGTGACAGAGTTGGCAGTACACCTTCAAAATACCATGCAATTATCGTAAAAGATGAAAGGGTCATAGAGTGAACACTCATTCCTCCCCTTCATCCACGTTATACCTTTTTCATGCCTTCATTCTCTGTACATTCTCAAAAGCTACCCTCCTCCCTGCAATATATACTACTGAGTGGTGCGCTTCCATAATTTCACTTTATAATACGATTTCCCTCTAACTCATTGCAATGGCCTCTCACTCGCCTCTGCTCTCTCAACACTTGCGTCACTATACTCCCTTATTATTACGATGATAATCGCGTACTGCCTCTTACACCAGTTATATTATATTATCACGCTCGGCAACCCCATTCGTCGGTGCGCCCATTGGCGTTGTCTCATTATGTATATATACTCAGATATATATGTGATAGTGATGATAGTGGATACACAGAGAGAAATATGTACGGAAAATTATTGGCACTGCCTTGGTGAAAAGTCATGGGAAATTCAGGAAAAATCACTGGAGTTCTTCGGAGTATTTACTGCGCAAGGGCAACAAAAATTACTGGACTCATCCTCAATTTTCTCTGAAGTTCATTTGATCTTCTAAAATATACTGCTAAAAACCTGAAATATCCGTACTAGTTATCCACTCTTTACTGCGCTTCCAGTAAATTTTACTGGACTCCATCATAACATTTAAGAAGTCGCAATCCTCTATTTACTCCACTTACTGCGCAGCCCAGTAATATTTCAAGCGATTCCGGTACGAATTTTTCATCCAAATTTCTCAGCAGGTCCCAGCCCGGACATCATCGATACATTTACCTTCGGCGCGTATAAATTTCCTTGAAAGCATCAACAATGGAATTGTTAAGTTTATGGCATAACGGAGCACTCCGCCATTGTTTTCCAGAATGAGTACACCTTCATCAATTAGCCCTCAGGCCTAGTGATCCTCAAGTATGATAAAGTGTCATAGCGGGCGCCATATTCAAACAGCTTGTTTTTTTATTTTCTCATGTTCAGCGCAAGTGTCATGGGCTTTGGTGGTTTAGAAATATGTATTACATTGGGCCTGAGGTAAACCGTCATATGTATATACACAAAGTTAGCGTGTCTAACGACACGTGCGACTTGAATTCACCTGAGGAGCATATCGGCCATATCAAAGGACACAAACACACCGTCCAACCGCACGCCAGCATATACTTTGCCCACCCCTAAATATGATTTATCCCTCACTAATCAGCGGATCGCGGAATAAAAAAAAAATTGCCCCACTGAATAATAAAAAAAACACATTGAAAATGCAGAGAGTAAGACGAAAATGGCACCGATAACAAATGAATAAGAAAAGAGGGTTGGTTTCCGACAGTTCTCATCACTAGACAGACACGAATGGAGGGGATGGTAGCAAGTGGAAACAGAGGGAACAACGAACTCTCATCCCTCAGTAACATAATACCAGAAACGAGAGGAGAGAATCTGCCTTTGCGAAACACGTGATCTTTGTCAGGGGAGGGGGAGTGTTGGAAGAGCAAGATGGCGGTAAGAGCAGTGGAAAATGGCCAGCATAAATAAAGTAAAGACACAGAAAATGCGTGAGTCTGTCTCTTTTTCGCGAATCAGCGAATAGAGAGTTGAGAATCAGGTGAAAAAATGTATATTGAAATGAGTTGGTTTGGATTGAGTGGGGAAGTCTCTGACCTACTGAGCTTGAGACATAACCTTTGTCGGTTTTGTGCCTCAATCATAACTGACGTTTAAAATGACTCAGTCGCGGATTCGTGTGACGCAATCTTTTATTCCTTATAAACCAGCCACTTCTAATCTCTGCGACAGAAGTTCTAGCGAAAGTCATTATTCCACTGCTCACGTTCGAGTTAGCCACGTTAATGGAGATTGTGGCCTTCAAAGTAAATTGTTTTTCTGCAAGGATCCATGATATTGTACTCTCGAGTGGTCCATAAAATTTCAAATATCAAATAAATATCTTGCATAACGGTGAAAAAAAAAAATATGAGAAAATTATTGCGGGCTTTTGGTGATTATTTAGAGCGGCTGAATGATACATTTGTGAAATTGAGTAGAAAAATCGTGATGCTGCATGATGACGGGGGCTGTAATAATGTAGATACATGAAGTAACGATGATTGGATGAGCGAGTAACGACTCCCTGGAGATTTAGCTCATGTATTCATATCGTCTGACAGGCGGATGTCACGGATTTTCCGGCCGCTTGGATTTTAACATTATTGTTACAGAATGTTAGTCAGAGAGAAGAAAGGAATAAAGGAAATGCAACATGACTCGTTCGCCGCAATTTGCTCGGTAAAAACAAAATGCCGTATTCTGACTATTCATGGTGCGTGTAAAGCTCGTACCTTACACGAAATCATTGTGAAATGTTTTTTTTTTTTCTTTTTTACAAAGGGGCTCGAGAGAGAAGTCCATATATGGCCACAAAAATATCAGACAACCCCTCATCCATCACCATTCGTTGAGAACATATTAATGCTGTTTATTACACTGTATTTTCATTCTTACACTGAGAGAAATATCCCTTTTAAAAAAAAGCATGTAACGTTTTTTGTCAGCTTTTTTTGGCGCTATGCATATCAAAATATATCTATATAATATGATATATATATAATATATACATATATAAATAATATATATATAAT